TTCAGCTATCTTTGTTTTCGATCCGTATTCTGGGAGTGTAAAACGTTATATAAATATTAACTATATGAAATTAAAACTATATATCTAGAGATCACGGAATAAGGGCGTACATTCCGGAATATAAGGGCTTATATACATTATACTAGGTTAGAATTTCCCAAATCCCGTCCGAAACTCGATATAATTGAAAGTAGATCTATAAATGAGATGATTTTTTAAAGTTGTATATGATCGAAGGTATGACCTCCGTTGAGATGTTGCAAGCCGAAGTTCGAAATCATGTAAAAACAGAGGAATTTTTTTCATCCGTATACGCGTGCTGTTGCAATGCACTATATATACCTTTCACAATGAAGACCTGGCTGGGGATGTTCAGAGAGGAAATGATTCCGAAACCGGGAACTTTCAGCACAAAAGTATGTGGGTGAAGTAGAAGTTTACCTGTGTGCATTTTCCCATATACGGCATTATAGTCCCATACAAATACGTCCTGTTAAAACAGAGACAGAGTATATGATTTATAATTATATTTTAGAGCACCACCTCACAGAGGAATAAATTTGGCTAAGTGCACATGTCAGTTTAATTTAATAATCGCGGAAAAAGTTATATAGCTTTTTAAACATTTATGTACCCGTCAAATGCCAGCAGCTCATTTTGTAACTGTTTCTATGCGACATATACAAAAAACTGTTTATATAGTTATATAATTTTTTATTTATTTACATTTTCACGACCCTGTTTTAGAAGAAAATGATGAGGAGGTAGTCGGCATAGTTGTGGCACATAGTGTTCAAAGTATAAGTCTAATTATACAGAGCTGCCTAGCCTGCGTTGCCGGCGTTTTGGCAACCCAGGCTACGAGCTGCCAAGTCTCACGGCTGACTCGTGAGTCTCTAGATGAACTTCCGGTATCATGAGTGGACTTTAACAATCTCACGATATTTCAGGAAAATGATTTTTATATATATTGATTAAATTCGGCATCTTCAAGTGATTGCAATACCCAGGAAATATACAATTTATGACTGTGTGTTTTCTATTGTTTTCTAATTCTTCCACAATTAATGAAAAATCGCTTGGTAGAAGGTTGAGAAACAAATATGTGCCAAGAGCGTATGCCTTTCAATCTTTACCTCTTGTCACTTTCTATAGTGAAAGAAATGGAATCCTATAATACCATAGAAATCACAAATGCGGGCATGGCAATGAAGTGCACAATGATCATGTACATTCTGTTTATACTGGCCTCGACATCCAGATTTTTAATCATCTGAACTTGGCATCTCTGCTAATACACTGAAGACTGAAGGGAGCCTATAGCAATATAATTTCGTGATCACAAAGTATTGTTTTGAAGTACTTTCAAAATGTGTCATCCGGTCTTTAGTCTTTTGCGGCACAGATTTGAATATCAAACATCAAAGTTTGAAACAATTTATTGTAAGAACTCTTTGTGTTGTATTAGGACGAATCTTAACTCTTAAGAAGGCCAGTCAGTCTTTGTCAAGCAAGTTTTCATCTCCTACACTGGACATAATTGTATACTGAACTACATATTAATATAGGTATATATACAATATATAATTACATTGTGGTTAGCGCTCGACAACTGCAGGGCTCTGTAGCGCAGTTGTTTAGAGCGCTACAGCCAGAGGGCCCATATAGTTGCATTTTTCGCAGCTGGCTGAGCTAGTCGTTACACGTGCTGGTTAGCTCCGCTCTACGTGTTTGTCACATGCAAACATAAAGAACAGTGCCAAGCTAATATTTTACTTCGCTCTAAATTTCAACTAGCGGCAATATCACGTACCACGTGAGGAAGATACGTACTTTTATTGGCTACTATATATTCACAGCTGAGCTCATAACTCTGCAACATCCGCACACGGTGCGATTCTTGCCTCGCGTGGACAAAATAATCAAACACGATAGAATTTTTCATCACGGTCTCGTGGCCGGATTCCACAGCAAAAAACCGCAGCTATCCAAACCCTAATCCTAGCCCTAAAAGTCTAAAAATAGTAACCGTTTCTAAACGTGACTCATATAGTAGTTCCATGTCGAGCGAGATTCTCAAAAACCTAAAGCAATGTTCGTAGTCTCCAAGACCAAAAATATTCAAAGACTTTCAAAGTTTTTTTCTGCCTATTTTCAAATACCTTTGGGAGCAATCTTAGCAGCTGTCGAAAAATCGAGTGTAAGCACCACTTTTACCCGGTAATTAGTCCCGTCAAATCACATCCTAAAATGTACCTTTTCGTCAATATTTGCGAAAATCTTGCTTCAATCAATCTATTTTATTACTAGGAAATCGTATAATCAAATACTCATTAAAGAATTTAAAGACTTTTAAATACTTTCATCGCTTTTTCACACAATTCAAAGACCTTAAAGACCTGAATTCAAATTTAAGGACTTTCAAGGATTTCAAAGACCGCTATACGAACCTGTTAGTGTTAATTTCAAAGGCTATTTCAAAATATCTATTAAGGGCAAGCAGTTTTCCGCAATTTCTAGGAAACCGGGTATTTAATCATGGAGGAATTCATCTTTCCAGGAAACTATGCAGGTCTTTGACCATGTACGTAGGGATTCAGTTTCCAGGAAACTGGGCCTTTAAAAAAATACTTATGATCACGAAATCATGTCCATTATGTATAACTCATGGTGTCCCTCAAGGTAGCATTCCTGGCCCTCTTCTCTTTCCTGCTTTCATAAATGATCTACCTCCAAACATACCTAATTCAACTGTTGATGTATACGCAGATGACACTACTTTCTCTTCAAGTTCCTACTTCTCTGTCGCGTCGACTGAATTACAAGTTAACCTTCAACACGATATAGACCAACTATGTCAGTGGTCAGACAAAAATAGAATGGTACTAAATGCTGACAAAACCAAATCAATTCTTATTACTGGTAAACGCCTTAAATCCCGAATGCAATTATCTTCCTTACCTCTTACAGCAAGCGATTCAAATATTGAACTGGTTTCTTCGCAGAAATTACTTGGTGTAATCATTGATGAAGACTTGACTTTCAAAGAGCATATAAACAAACTTAGTAAAAACCTTAGTAAAAAGATCGGCCTGCTGAGAAAGATACGAAGATACTTACCACTACTTGAGAGAAAGCTATTTTACAACGCTGTCGTCAAGCCAGTTATGATGTATGGTAGTTCTATTTGGAGTTGCTGCTCGCGAAATGATCTGCTTAGAATTTTCAAATTACAAAAAAGAGCAGCTCGGGTAATTTTAGGAACTGACACTTCCTCCAGGTCAATAGCCAATTTCAATAAACTGAACTGGATACCTTTTTATGACGAAGTTAAAATTAACAAATGCACTTTAGTTTACAAGAGCCTGCATGATCAAGCTCCTCAGTATATTAAGAACTTATTTAAAACAAACAATGAAATTAATGGTAGACAAACTCGTCATGGCGAATATAATCTAGTGTGTCCTAAATATAATTATGCAACTGAGGGAGGAAAATCTGTAACGGTCAGCAGCATTAAAATATGGAACAATCTCCCGAAGGATATTAAGACGAAACCTAGCGTTAATTCCTTTAAGTTTGCCCTTAAAAAATACTTCTTAGAATCTTATAAGGGCATCGATCGCTTTGAATTATTATTGTGATCAGCAAGTTGTACTGTATATAATTTGTATATATAAATTTATAATCCTAAGATCTTTTACATATTTACTCTAAATAGCTTTTAGACGTTTTAAAGTAGAATTAATAACTTTGTATGTATTGTATATGAGGGCCACAGGTTTTTCAGTTATATTGCTGTCATGTGTTTTTACCCTCTTTAAATAAAGTTGTTCATTCATTCATTCAAATGATCAATGATGGACCTTGCATGACCTTAATCAATGGTGAAGATATATACTCAGCAGGAATGTTATCAGTATTGCAGTAGTTCAAACAATACTAGGTTCAGATGGTTCAATTCAAGTAAAAACGAAACCTGGTTGAGGTGGTCAAACCAAAAAATATCAGAATTCAGTTATTACTTCATCTTGGCTCAATCATTTGCTTCCAATTTAGGCACATGGTTAAATCACTGGGGTTATAATGATGTGAAAACCATCAATTTGGTATCGATCATGGTGAAAGTCTAGGTACGTCACGAAGCTGTACAAGGTCAAGGGCGTGAATATCGTTTGATGTGAAGTTTGAATTAATTAAATTATAGAAGGGATGGAAATTTCGAGTATGATTTTTATACATTTATTAATAGACTCTTTAAATGCATAAAATTCCCACTGGAATTACCATCTACAAAACCTTCTGCAATTAGATATATCTGCTCAAAATCCTTAAATTAAATTAGCGTCGTTATTCCATTACTCGGCCTCCTTTGTTCTTTAGAAAAAATATATTTAATATCCCCTGCCAGTTAAGTGTTGTGAAAAGCTGAGGGCTGCTTTTGATTTCACTGACAGGGGAGAGCGGGGCTGAAAGCAATGACCAAATTCAAAGGCAAAACAATAGATTAACAATCCCTGTAATATTATTCCCTGTAATATTCCCCCTTATATAATCATCATGCTTTGTATTTTTTCTTTCTGAAACAAAAGTGATCAGTGTTTGGGAGTCGTTTTATGAATGTCTTTCATAACGAATTTCTTTCTACTATGTCTCCTAAAATGCAACCTCGCCAATGACCAATGTGAAAAATAAGTACGTTATTTTGAGTCACCTCGGCGATGCGAGTTTATTCATCGCGGCGCTTCGGTGCATGATAAATCCACATATCCCCTCGTTGTTTCAAAATAACCTACCTATTGAGTATCGCGGTGCTTGATCGAAGGTAGAGACACAGCTATAGAGATGATTATTCTCAACACGAGTATAATTGTCATTTAGAAACAGCCAATTTGCAAATTATGGTAAGCTTATTTAACCATGCAGTTCAGTAATTAAGGAATCAACTAACACCCGTCACACAATTAACGAAATACAACAACAAAGGCCAAAACTATACAGTTTAGATAAAAAGTGTATATTTACGCTTAAAATAAATACATATATCTCTATATATATATAATTAAAACATGCAAAAATAAACCCATTCCAGTAATTATATTACAGGATATGGTTTTAACTCGCGGGTGGAACCATGTACTATAGGTAAATCGATCCGGTGCTCACTTGACAATATTTTTTTTAAAATAACTGATACTGGTAGTGATATACATCTTTTAAAAAAACAAGAGATTCTCCGAAATTGCACTGCGGACTCCATGACAAAGCTCTGAATTGGTTCAATACATTCCTGTTCAACCTCTTAGAGAAACCAAATTTCTCACATTGGTGCAATATAAAACTGGATATAATATGTATGCTAATATGTACAAAAGACTAGGTCTATATTATTCTACCAAGCTGCACATGCCTGCAGATAAATTATTACATCCCGTGCTCTACATGCGTGGAACACTTTGTCAGTTTCGTGCATACCAAATGTGCAATGTTTTATACATGTTGATCTGTGATTCTATAAGGGAGAAGGTGTTCGTTACGACGTTCCGTGTGTCGCGCGCAAGTTGAGGGGTCAATCAGAGAAAGGAATACCGATATATTACCAGCAATCTCTTAGGAAACTAGGTACTATATAGGAAGCCCTTTGAAAACCCTGAAAAAAAATTGACAAAGCCTCGCAATAAGCAACTTTCAACTCGCTCTCACTCAGTGGCGTGCTGGGTACTATTTTTCTGGGGGGGGGGGAGTGTGCTGTCAACCAATATGCGCTCCTATAATGTTACGCTTGATACACGAGGGCAGAAGGCACGAGCCGGGCGCCGTAGGTTCAAGGTTTGTCTAGGGGGGTCCGGGGGCATGCCCCCCAGGAAAATTTTTGAATTTAGAGTCTCTGAAATGCCATTTCCTTGACTTTGGGGGAAGACTTGACAGAAATCTGATGGTCAGGAAACAGCATTATAACGTGTCGAAATTTGGTTAGAATTTAGTAGTAGTACTTCAAGCGATTAATCTAATCCCAATTCTATTCTCTACTGATCTAGTTATCTGAATACATTTACAACTTTCACACCCACTTTCAAAATTCGGCGCCCCCTTTTCATTTTTGCGCCCCCCAAGAATTGCCAGCTGGGGGGGGGGGGCGTGGCCACCCCCCCCTGCCAGCACGCCACTGCTCTCACTACAAATAATTCACTGTTAGTTTAAATTTTTTATCGCAATTTCATTTTAGTGAGATGCAAGCACTCGTAAGCTTGTTGCCAGAACTTGCCTAATAACGGAATTGACACCCCATGTATACCTATCTTTGATAAACAACTTGCTGACGTTGCAATATATAGACCCATTGCACATGACGTCACAGCGCCGGCGACGATGCATCTGGAGGACAAATTAGCAATCTATGCATAATATAAATTTTGTAAACAAAGCAAATTTTGTACAACTTTATAATAATTTTGTATTAAAATGGTTAATTTTTGCGCTGTATGTGGTTGTTGTACCCGAACAGATTTTGTTAGGGTGCATCTGGAGGACACTCTAAGGATTTGTGACGTCAGTGCAATGGGTCTATATCTTTGACAAAGACCTACGCGATCTACTGCTCGCTTCTGTTTTAACCTCGGCGCCAAACAATGACACATATAGGGCATGGATCTGAGAAGCAGTCCATACATATATTTGGAGACCACTTGACTAGACTTTCCAAATAAGTAAATGGTTAGTACTGTCTTCACGTCCAGCGGATTCATTTGCAGTAGATTTAAAGTCCTCATAACCATCTCCTCCACTAATAACAAAGATATTTTCACTGGGGAAAGGTAGATTGCCTTTTTCAATATTTAGCTGTGAACGACGAGGTGACCTGTTCGCGGGTTGACTACTTGCTGTCTCATCCTTTTCCTCAGGCTTGCCTATTTCGACAGCCGTCAAGAAACGTACATGTCCAGTGTGGCCCTGGGGCGAGGCAGTGACATCGAGTGGGGCCTGAATCGAGGTTGCATTAGGTGCAATAATTGGTAAAGGTAATGTTAGTACAACCCCAGCACTCGTACCAATCCACAATAAATCTTTACATGTGAGTAACGCCGTGACACGCAAACATGCGGCTTTGTGCTGTTTAATTATCGCATCAGAACCTACAATAGGAAAAGCAATAACATTAGAACAAAGCGCCGTTGGATTCAGTGCAAATAAAAGTGAAACGAATGATTGTTCAGTTGGGATAAAATGTCTTTCTTAAAAAGTATAGCAAATATGCTTGACATGATTTAAATAATATAAAAAGTTGTTAAAAGGTCAAACAGTGTTAAATTGTACGGGTGAATTGCATCAGAAAAATACTTCTAAAATGCACATGCACTTTCATTTAACACAAAATAATAGAACCTTTCAGTAACATTCATGTGACTACCACGTCTCTGTTGGAATCCTATGGTTCTTGCCCAAGAAAACGTTGCTGGGGAAATAAATTTCTCTCTGAAGAAAGCAAAAATGTTTCCCAACAATTCAAAAACCTATTTTGTTTCCTTAGTGTAACATTGATTGCGGAGCATTGCTCATTAAACATGAAAATTATTTCTGTATTGTATTTACCAGCAAGCATTTTATGAACTGCATCCTTGGTATCGACATCAGCCAAATGCTCACATGTACTAGCATGGTACAAACGAATGACAGACAAACTTTGTATTGAGATCCAAACTCCCATTCCAGAACTTGCCATGGCATGTAGTGACCGACTGTTGTCCACACTCGCATTGAATCTTGTCTGCAAGGAGAAAATTCTCGCGGTTAAAGCTCTAATACAACTCATTGTTATTCGTATAGCGGAAAAGTATGTGTTCATTTTACGCCTGAAGGCCCTGAACATGCACAGCTTTCCTTTCCATTGTATGTGAAAGTTTCTTTGAATTAACTTGTTTTCATTTTTATAAAAGCTCAAAAAAAGGAGAGCAAATTATTTAAGTTGAAGAGTTATCGGCAATGTGAATATATAAAATCTTTTTACGAAGCATTTCGTGTTGAATTTTACATTAAAAAAGGCCCATTTTTATTTTTTAGAAATCGGTACTCGGTATAGCTGTATAGTTAAAATCAGCCTCGTACCCAGCAAAGCGCCTGGAATGAGGCTGGTTAAAAGTGTAAATTTGAAAAAAACAGTGATTGTGTTGGTTACCATGGCTAATATGACGCGAACAACGCGAGCCTGCGTTCAGTGTTGATGTAATCAAGAGTACTTCATGTTGAAACAATGTTTGGAAAATGTGGGCGAGGGTTTGTTGCACGCGTGTATTTCTAGTAGAGTTCTAATATGCTTGCACATGATTGGTTGGGTATGTAGGTGTAACCACTCTCTTAAATTTGTGTTCTAGTAAACATGCAGCTGTTAAGAGAAACATACCTCTATTTCTAACGTCGTGGTATTAACAATGACCACTTGGTTATTACAACCAACCCACAGTCGACCTAATACCGCTGTCATACAAGTAATACGGACGTTGCTTGATATCGTGATGTTTTTTGGTGCATTGATTTCCCAGGCATAATCTATTAACAAAGTGGCAACAAATTATAGTTATGAAATTTGTAGCTGCATGGGTTTCACTCAGAAGCACTATCGTACAATAATGAAAATTGTTTTCATAAAACAGTATATTGTATTTGGGGGCAAATACAAGCATAAATTTAGTTGGAAAGTAGACCACCATCTGTTCACTCGTAAAGGCCCATTTCTATTCAAGAAGAAAATGGTCCGAAAATATCATTGTTAAAAGTTGGAAATTTTCAACTTCAAAACTTTTTTCCGACGGAAAAATTGTGTTGGCCAATCACATTTTAAGAAATTTTCTTTCTGCGGAAAATTTTCCCGAGTGGAAATGGGCCTTAACACTTACTGAATCCCATGCAGCCAACAGAGTGAAGATACGGAATTCATAAATAATAATAAGTGAACTTACTGGGAGAACGTTTATATACACAGAGTTCTCCGTTAGCTAATCCAACAAAAACCTGATTCTCCACATATCTAGAGAAACAAAATGGGAGGAAAACTAAATTACATCACAGGAAATACTGCGGCGCATGATTCTAGAGATCACGACTTTTACCATTTCTTCAGGCCTGTTTACACTTGCAATTTTTGCTGCGATTTTGTTCTTCTGGTAGATGTGAACAAGCGGATACGTTATGAATGTTGAGATGAGGGTATACACATAATCAGAACATGCATAACTCATCTACTCGTTCACATGCATCTGAAGAAGAAAATCGCACCTAAAATCGCTGCACAAATTGCAAGTGTAAACGGGCCTTTAGATGCGTTTCAAAACAGTGGCAGGAATACATTCTGGTTCTGTACAAACTACAGGGACCGGTCGTATAAAAAATACACTTAGTGCAAAAGTTAACCAATCAGAATCGTTAATTTGAGAGACGTGGACGATATGTACGCACATACAGGATGTAAGCGGGATCCTTGATCCTTCTAAATTCATTTTAAATCCTGAATATTCAATGTCTCAAAATATCTCAGCTCCCGCATGCCTTTATCGGTATATATAATCATTTGGCATTTTATATGGAATTTATAAATATTCCAAAATCTTAAAATGTGCACATATCAAACAGGATCGCGTATATAGACATTACTTGTATCTGTAAATATTACTCTTCCTTCTAAATATTACGCCACCACATTACTCTTCCTTTTATTTGCAAATAAATTGCCTTTCTATATATGAATCTTTTCATTTTCAAAATGGAACAATCCAGAGAAAAACATCACGCATACTCACAATATGCACTGTACAGCTGAATTTTTCTGTATTTTCGTCTTATTTCGTCTTTGTTTCACAGCACTTGTTACTGGAAAGATGTAGATACTGCAACGAGAAGGCAAATAATGTTGAGTGGTTGAACAACAATGAGATAACGGCAAAAACATGTCAGTAAAAATGTGTCCGTAGTAATGCACGCATGTGCCTAAAGACGCTTTTGTACTAGGTGCCAGTGGTGAGGCTAGCCTTATAGCAACAGGTCATGCTATGCAATATTCAAACCTTTAAAAATGTATTGTCTACAACTTATGAAGGCCCTTTTATTTGCAATTTTTTCTGCGATTTCTAGTGCGATTTTGATGGATGTGGACGAGTGATACATATACTCAGAATATTCGCAACTCATCTACTCGTTCACATCCATCAGAAGAAGAAAATCCCCCTAGAAATCGCAGCAAAAATTGCAAGTGTAAACGGGCCTTGCCATGGCTAGCTTCGCCACTGCTAGGTACATTTGTTCGCGTGAATTTCGGTAATATGATTTGTCCGACACTACTTTTTCTACCAATCACATTGCGGAAATTTGTATTTTGCTTCGAGTTGCGCGAACAAATTCGCCTGGTGGAAAAGCGGCTTAACGCGTATTCCAGTGCAGTGCAGTGCAGTGCAGTGCAGTGCATACAGTGCAGTGCAGTGCAGTGCAGTGCAGTACAATATGTGTATTGTAATGATCAGCAGTAATTTCAATTTTAGGAAAAAATAATTTCTTCACTAGTTTGCCACAATAACCATTATTAATTAATGTATACTGTTTGCCACTTTGCCTCTTTATGTTAAGAGGGTTTACTATTAGTAGAATTAACAAAACACTGCACGATTGCATAATAAATAGTACACCACAACATCAACTTACTATCCATCTTCAGCTCCCATCCACACAGTTGGTTGTTGGTTTGCTTCGTCCACGTCCCCACAATGTCCTTCTATCCCCTTCTTCTCCGATCTGTGTCTCGGCTTGCCTTCGTCATCTGACGACGGGTTTTCGTGATAATCGGAATCATCTCCGCCATCACTGCTGAGATCTCCATCTAAACTTCCGGCCGTACCCAGACTGCTACCTTCTGGGCTGAGACGTCCATCAAATGAAGGAGGAGAGGGTGAGACAGTGAATGAATCATCACCCATATCTTCGTCATCCGTACTGCTATCAAATGCCATAATATCTTCTCGGCCGGCCTTCGTCGTCACACTTCGCCGGTTGTTTGATATATTTTCGTCAGAATGATATCCGGATGACTTACTTCGTAATGTAGAGTTATTACTTTCCACTGGATCTTTAAAATCGTATTCAACATTCGTTGTGTTTATGCCAGCCAGTTTCCAACCAGGTACTGGTGAGATTGACAGAATACGAGCTTGACATGGTGAATATGTGGTCCCTTGCTGCAAGAAGAAAAATATTCAAGACCTTATTACAAATATAAATACACTAACAGGAGATACTTAACGACTATAGGTAAAGATTGTAGGTAAAAATTTCAAACGTCAAAGGAATAGACATTAGGAAGCTTAAGCAAGCGACGTTTTTGTCAATACGGACGTCAGGTTGCGGAGGGAGGACTGGATTAAAAACTATGTTTGTGTCATTTGTGGTAATCTTCAACACATATGACAAAACATAAGATTTTTAAAGTTTTTTGCTTCCTTACACGAGCGCTATATGAGGCACAATGCCGCCAAAAATAGTCCTACCAATTTTTGGGTGAATTCTGTGTTGTAATTAATAAAGCTCACTTCCTCAATACAAGTATTCCTATAGAGCCGACTACAGCCTTTAAGGCGAATTTGTTCGTGCGACAGTAAAGAAGTAGGAACAGGCAATTCCAGCTATAGACTAAATTTTGATCTAGGCAAGAAGAACAAAATTCATCACCATAGATGGAAAGAGCATGTTAAAATTAGTAAAATTGCAACGTTTGGCCGTGAAATGTTGTAAAATGCGGAAAATATAGCGCTACGAAATTTGCAAATTTTGTATTAATTTGTATTACGCGCGGGAAAATGCACCACTTTCGGCCCAAATGTGGTGCACTTTCCTGTGCGTATTACAAATTAGTACAAAATTTGCAAATTTCGCAGTGCTAGATTTTCCTCATTTTACAACATTTCTCAACCAAACTTTGCAATTGTAACTAATTTTAACATGCTCTTTCTAGCTGTGGTAATGGATTTTGTTCTTCTTGCCAAAGTCAAAATTTAGTCTAGAGCTGAAATCATCCACTGATCGCTTCGCGCGAACAAGTTCGACTAGGAAAATGGGCTTTAGTAAGGCAAAAATATATTTTCTTTTTTTTCAAAATTAATACTATTTGGCAGTGTTAGTTGCTCACCTCAAATTCTCTAAGTGGAGACAACATGGATACTTGACCGACACAACCATCACTACTTGCAACCCATACATCACCAGAGCCACAATGTGTTCCACGCTTGGTCAGACGTGCCGCAACAGTGGGTGACGCACATGTAAACTGTAATCAAAACATGTTTTAATAAAAATGAGACAAAAAATGTTTAGTAGTCATGTAACTTAATGCTTGGCCATTTTCCAAGCGCAAGTTAAAATTACCATGGCCAAGTTGAAGTTTTTTCTTGTTTGCCAGAAAGGTATAGGTAGGTGTATTTAGACACCCAATAGGCAATTCCAGCTTTTAGTTTTTACGTGCAGGGGAGGATGGGAAGTAAGGTATCATATTGCTGATTATGCTGAAAAAATAAAAATGGCGGCCGTGTAAACACGGAGTGATAGCTTATACTTGTAAATATTGAAATATTTCGGTTGTTTCGGCAGTTTTTATTGACATTTTTCAGCATAATCAGCAATATGATACCTTACTTCCCGTCACCCCCTGCGCGCAAAATTAAAAGCTGGAATTGCCTATTATCAACGCCAATATCCCCAAATGTGGTATGAGAACAAACTAGTTATTCGATTCACTGAACAATAAACCCAAGGGGGTGGGCAAAAAGGACAACTCGTCTCGGCTAAAGGATCCCCCACATGAAATATCCATAGATTTAACTGTCAACTAGTCACCTAGAATGCAGAATCTTGGATTTTCGGGGACCAGAGATTTGAAAATCTTTCCTGTCTACCGTACTATGGTACTATACGATGGAAATGACGGGAGCCTCAAAGTTCGACTTTCTCTGGGCGGCCCTGACAATACCATAAGTAACTAATTTTATTGCAGGGGACACTCTTCTGCAACTAATTTGTTTCTGTGGTTAATAACGCTTAATGGCATGAGTATAAATTTTTATCAGGGCAAGCATGCCAAGCCTGCCCTCATATCAAGTAGTCAAAAAAGTTTTCATAAGGTTTCTTTTTCTATTTTCTAACAGTTAAAAATCATGCTCGCGCTGTTCAGAAACACGCATTACTGCAATATTCAGAAATTCCCGTGAATTTGGTGAATACAGTTCATTGATTATGAATACTATATGCTTTACTAGACTACTCCTTCGCTTTTCAGCATCTTCTTTAAGTTCTTTTACTGAGCAGTTTGCCACTCAAAAAAGGCGGAAAGGCCTGGTCACGTATTGCGTGAGAAAGGCTAATAACATCGCAGTAGCTAAGTATGTGATGACAAAGGCGCACGTTAACCTCGCTTGGGATATTTCAAGAGTTACTCAACCTTAATTTTAGAGTCTGCGGTTTGTATTTTATCTACTATACCACATTGATAATCATATATGTGACAAATAATTTCAAATTGATTACACTAATTATGTATTTTTCACGGCCTACCTGTAAACCACTTCTTGATTTATTGATTGGAATGGCGTTTTGAAAGTTCGGCGAGGAATCCTTTGTGTAAGCTAAAAATTGAATGTAAATTCAAATTTATTTTCTTGCGAACATTCAGTTGGAGTCAAGGTGCATAAAAGATAGTAAGTAAAAACCAGTGACCTCTATCTATATCTGGACACTACAGTCACTCGCCCATGGGAAAAGTGAAGTCATGGAAATTGACGTCCAATAGCTATGAAGGTCGTAAACAGTTTTAATACAATTTTCAATAATTCGCTAAACAAGTAATGAGTTCATAAAACCACATAGTATTATTCTTTAAATCGATGTCAAAATACGAAATTTCGCACACTCCTTGCTGGCTTTGTGTTAACCGCGCAGACAAAAACACTAGAAAGGGACTGGAACTGACGTCCAATGGTTCTTCAATTTCTGCCATTTTGATTTTTTGGACTCGAGTTCTCGCTCCAGATACACATATAGAGCTCACTGGTAAAAACAGTCTAGTAACTGTCTAGTCAACCTACCAAGTTGTTGTTTGGCGTCCAGGAAGTACGCTTCCCAAGATGATTTAATCTCTTTACTGAGAAATACGAACATGTAGTTTTCAATAGGTTCTCTGCAAAGGAAAACATTTCAGATTAGTTCAGAACTCATTTCCTGAAAAATTATTAAGTCTTCATGTTACAACCAGGATTCAATCCCAGGGCTCTGTAGCTGCATGGCAGACGCAGCCTAGTCCCTAGGCCTCTTAGTACGTGTTCTCATTAATATGCAGGTGTGATGTCATGGGATAATAAAAGGCGTGCACAGAGGATTGGGGACTAGTCTGTCGCAGACGGTCTAGCCGAAGCTATAAGGTATCTGTATCAATGTATGCTGAATCAGCCATGGGTTGTTGTCTTGAGCAGAACACTCACCTTGAACCGATGTTTAAGATCACAGTGTTTTCATACGACATAAATGTTGCATTTGAAGAACGTTGGGTACGATGTTCAACAAGTAAACGGCTAAGGTCTGATGCAAGCTCTCGTATGGCATCATCAAGCGCCTAAAACGTATAATATAGCAAAAACTCATGTAAAGCTTTATAACAACTAACAGTATACATGAAAAAAGTACTCAATTGTGATTGGCTAAGATCAGTGATCGTAATACAGCGCCAAAAATGTAATTCAGTGCCAAAATAAAGTTTTGTTTAGTTTAGCTTGCCCGATGTGGAGACACTGAAGATTAATATCAGCAAAAATAATTTGCCCGACTCATCATCATAAAACATCTCATGAGTTCAACACCACAACCAACCAGACGTTGTATTAAGAGTTGTTGTCGTTCACATGAGCGAGTAAATCACTTCTTTCGCACGTGTTTCATGTCTGCAAGTGATCATGAATTTGCTCCTGGATAATGTCTTCATGCATATTATTAATAAGTAATAGTATGGTTTCTCGCGCAAATTTGATCGCCTTTGGAAAACACTCACTGAGTCACTGGTTCACTTTTTTTTCTAAATGGCACTCGAAACCATACTATTACCTATATATAATAATAAAAAACAACTACAAAATTAGCCATGCATATCATGTTTTTGAGTCCTCGAACAAGTTACATTCACGACACTTCAGTTAGTTTCTTCATCTGTGTCGGGCTCGAAATACAAAAAATGTGGTCTGATATTCTATTTCTGTTTAGCAAGTATTGCCTGCAATGAGCATTATTGCCTGCAATGTCTATAGTTGAACTGCCATATTCTACATTTCTATTTGTTTGGTCTATTTCTACATGGCCTATTTGAGTAACTCTATCAGATGAATATCACAAAATTTTTAAATCCGAATACTCAGACTGAACACCAATTCTTTTTGAAATGAAATACAACTCTATAATTTCACGTGACATTCTATTTTGGACTTGGCAGCGAGTTCTGAACTTAGGCGGGACTCAAGAGATGGCAGCTAACAAAATTGAGATACCGTTGTGGTATATATCGTACATATGTTTTGTTTGACACATGTGGTCTGGAAAAATCAGTAATAAACAGTTATTGGATGAGGTTTTTGTGCTCTCACTGGAGCCAAAGGCGAGATTGATAACATTTACTGAGACCTTGGTAATTCAGAATATCACAAAAACCGAATTCAATAACTGTTTTATTATACAGGGTGTATAAAAAAAGGTAATCCAAATTTAGCGTGCTCTTGTGCAATATCAAGTGCACATATCTAATTTTTCCATATTACTAAAAATTAGGGCTTTAGCTTTTGAATGACACCTTTTTCGTATCATTCCAAAGTACAATTGACCAACTATGAGCCGTCCAATGATACCTTCATTGTGTCATTATAAAGAAAAATGATCAAATACGAACAAAAATTGCTAAAATCGCATTTTTCCACCGCTGGGAATTGGGTGCAAAACTGTCGAAAAAATGCCATTTTGATCTAAAATTCATGAATTTTAATTTCAAAAGCTCTAACATTAGTAACATATGGGATAAACTTAGATAATTGTTGTTCATAAATCTGGTCACTTGTTTAGCAAGACACATTAATGATTAATTTTAAATTGCTTTTCCTTTTGTTATGTACTGCTTAATTATGCACAAAAATGGAAAATTTTGATCGGCAATTCTTAATCGGATCGTATTTGGTCAATTGTGCTTGGAATGGTACGAGAAAGGTGTCATTCGAAAGCTAAAACCCTAATTTTTTTAATATTCACAAATTGAATCAGAATTGAATATTGAGAATACAAGAGCACACTAAATTTGGATTACCTTTTTTTTTTATACACTGTACCTGTACCTATACAGGTACAGTACCTATACTTGTACATTGCATTTTCAGTAACTTTTTCGACAAATCGTTAAGAGAATCTTGGGGTCATTGGTTTCCTCCTAAAACGTCTAGTATATACGAACACACGCACCTGATGGGGAACTGATACCGACTCAGTCAGTTTGCTGATAGTGCTCACAGTATTGAGATCCTGTTCCAGTTTATCACGGTATGTCTGGTCAGAGTTCTTCAACGGACTTTTCAGATCACCACCAGCTTTATAACAGAAACAAACGTGAGGTCAGATGATGGCCTAGCAGTATAGCACATGGCAGGAAATAATGGATCCTGGCATCCAGGATCTCAGAAGATTTTCAGACCTGGCTTAGCTGGAAGAAAATTTTAGGGCAGTGCATAATGCTAACAGGTGCAGAAAATAATTTATTAGGAAGAATATTAAAATATTAAATAATATGGCAGAAAACGTTGACCCCAAGAAACAAAAATATTATTAATTCCTGCAATGGTATAGCAGTTGCAGACACCTCACGATTAGGTTTCCAATATCTTTCTACTGTTGTAAATTTCTGTCATCAAGACTTTTCGTTCAAACTTGATATGAATTCGCTTAAATAACAGCTCATTAGGCTTTTATGGACAAAGACACATGTTTATAGTTTAGTAAATGAGCATTCATTAAAAGCTTTCGGCAACCCTTAGTGTACGCCACTGTGTTCGCTCTTCTGCGGTCTAGTGGTAAAATACTCTTGTAAATACATTCTTGAAATATTTTTTACAGTACGTTTACAGGATAGAACATGTTGCCGAAGTACTTACTTGTAACAAGTTCTACGTCATTCAGTGGAGATTGCCACAGTAATCTGTACTTGTTCATCTCGGCCGCAGACTGACCAGAAAATCTGTAAAAAAAGTTCAATAAAACATTAGCAAAAAAGATCGTTCCTTTCTACCGCTATTATGGCGACATCGGACGTCAGGATTGAGTTTACACTGAACTAGCTCAATATGTTTTAACGGTTGTAAAACTTCCAGTTAAAGAACTGGCCAATTTCCATTAATAAACAAGCCATAAATATTTCTACGCCCCTTTTCCTGAATATAAATATAGAGCAGGCCACCCAGCATGTAGCATTCCTGAAGATGACCACAAGATAGTAGAAATGTTGAGAATACAATTTTTTTCACGGAGATTTCATTGTATTGGTTCATATTGGCTCAGTAAGCCTGCAGCTATGTCTTGATGGGGGTGTGCTGATCATTATGATGTGCAGCTGAGAGCTAAGCTGAATTGTAAAGGACGCAGCTCAACCTGATTGAGCTGAAGGTTCTCTAAGCCACCTTTAATATCACAGAGCACAGCTACGGCGGCATAGTCAGTTTGAAGCAGGGCGCTTATATAGAAATATAAGCGCCCTAGTTTGGAGCGTATCCCGACCCACCCTGTCAACATTTCTTGTGGGAGAAAACCGGAATACCCAGAAAAACCCAAAACGTTAGAGCGTTGACGGACTCTTTACATAAAGGCAATTTTCCATTGCTGTCGCTTTGCCCGCGCGGGCGGAGCGAACATTACTCAACTTTCTTTGTAGTTGCTTAACCTGTGCATTGTTTGTCCGCCTGAATGCTCGCGGACACGCCATGAAAGTAGAACTACATTCAACTTTCTTGGCGTGCCCGGGCGACTGATTTTTCACGTCATTAAAATTGGTCGCTCCGCCCGCGCGTAGCGGCTGCAGTGGAAAATGGCCTTTAGTGTCATGAACGAGTTCGCACCAAGACGCTTGACGTGCGCTTGCCCTGACGTCTGCGCCACTGGAGCCCCTTAATGTTTATCTTACGCATAGAATCATAGTTAAAACTTGTGACGTCATCTTTCACAGGATTTTAAGAAAATGGAACGGGGAAAATACAATGTTGACTGAAAGGTCTGATGTTCACGTCCACTAGGACCGTTCAATTAGCCTTCTCACTCCGCCATTTTTGGGCTACTGCCTTTTCCAAATCTGAGATTGTACGCAGTGAATAAGGGATTTGTATAAGTATAATTGTGAGTATAATCATTGTAAGTTAATTTACAGTTAAATATTTGAAAAAATGTTTTCACATCGCTTAGATTTTTCACGTCGTTTTCAAAAAGGTACCCCAAAAAGGCGAATTTGGCCTTCGTGAGAAAGGGTAATTCCCATTGCACAGATCACATCATTTATAATATAAGTAAAAAACAAAGATCACGTGTTATATAGCTTATCCTAGAAGAATTTTCAACAACTAAAAAATACTCACAGACTGAGAGAACCTCTGCGAAGAGAAGTTTGCTTTCTTTTGACTGTTGCACATACCAACAAATCCGAAAATAAAAATAAACATCTGTCTTTTTTTGAGAGTCCTCCTTTCTGTAAGAAACAATAGAAGGCAATCAATACATTCCCTACGCAGCGCTAATTTGATTTGATTCCCCATCAGTGTCTCACAAATATCAACATACAATATAACGACGTCATTTTGGAAAGCAGTGCATTATGGTCTATCCAGGGAAAGAGAACTTTCTCAAAGTGCCGTAAATCAAATATTTTGTCTTCAATCAAAATGTAGGCTCGGTACCAGCCGTTTCCCTCTGGGGGCTTTGCAGCCTAGTCCCTAGGCCTCTTAGTACGCCTATTTCGCGTTTCTGCATATTATTGAGGTGACGCGCGTATCGCTCGGTGACGTCAAGGAAATCAAAAGCGTGCACAAAGGACTAGGGACTAGTCTGGGGGCTTTGTGGAGGCGAGGATGGCTGGGACCGAGCCTAATCAAAATGGTGATTAAATTAATACAAGTAATGCAAATAACAGTATACATTTTTAGAAGAGCAACCAAAACTAACAAAGCTATGCGGAATAATTATGAATAAAAAATATATATTGCAACGCGATGCTCATGAAATTGATCTACACAGTACATCGTTGCTGTCAAACGGAAAGTGTTTAGACAATAGCGGCTTCGTGGTTGGTTTGGTATCGAGCCTGGGCTAAGGTCCGATTTGTGTTGGTTGGCTCAGCCGGATGAGAATCAGTCCCAGAGGTCATAGATTGTCGTCAGAAGGGCTACGAGGGCTTTAATTAAACTCCTTCAGTTTAAAGCCTCTTTTCCACTCATCGCAAACATCTACTTCGGAGCTCGTGGAAAATAAGCATTTAGTAGGGTGGAAAAGTGGTCGAAATGTGTGAAAACAAAAATGAATTGAGGTTTCATTTTCATGTCACGCATTCACGAAATATAAGTGGTTAGGAGGTTAAGGATGGATTAGGTTTCGTGATTGCGTGACATGAAAAGACAACCGGAATTGGTTTTGGCGTTGAGATCTTTCTGATCTCAAAACATAACTAGATGGCCACCAGTACCGGTGCATAACATAGATATCTTATATACACTAGATAGTGCATCTAATTATTCTGCAATTCAAAAATTGAAGACGTGATTGCAGACTCAGGATATTCCCATGAAATGAGAAGACCCTTAAACAGGGAACTTAAACATTAAGTTAAACCTATTCCAAATACATTTTCAAACTGTTCAAATGATGAAAGTTATTGTGTTTTTTGAGCGTTTATTAGCGAGTAGGGAACTCCAACATGGCCGCCATCTATTCAAATGGGGGTAACCGCTGGAATATTCTTGGCTTCAATTTTACTTAAAGAGATGCGCTATCTAGTGTATATAAGATATCTATGGTGCATAAACAGAAGCTGGTTCAACATTGCTGTCCAATAAGAATCCGCTTTTACTATAAAGAGAAACTTACGGGGGGCTGTATAATCAGGGCGCGAAATAACGGCCGGTCAACGGACAATGTCCGGCCAGAATGCGGAGTTGTCCGCTCAAATTCTTACCTTGCCGGTCATTTTGACCACTCACTTTCGGTAAAAGAACAAACTAATCTTCATTTTAATTATAATCAAAATAAAGTTATCAAGTATTATAATTAAGAACCATAACATGTTGTCGTATATTTTGCGGGAAAAGAACTTCAATGTACGCCAGCTTTCCCACGCAGTACGTCACAAAGCCCATGGCCATGCTTTTGGTTTAAGAGTTAAGGCCATGGTTTTAGCGCAGTGCAAGCTGTTTTATGTGAAAGAGTTTTTAATTACTGATTACAGTAAGACTTTTTGTAATGCTATATTGGGAAAATAGTCACATTTTTAGGGGTATACTTTACTAGGCTATGCTTTAAGCTGAATAATTTGACAGGCCAGAAATTCGGTATGTCCGAGCAAAATTGAGTTGGCCCGTCACCTTGACCGGCCACCCCGGCCTCCACCCGTTATTTCGCGCCCCGACAATAAAACTTGTCAATTCTCAAAAAGAACACAATTGCTACAAAGCATCTTGTGCACCAGTATTGTTGAAGAATACGATGGATAATCAGTTTCTTCTTTAGTAATGGCGGACTACGAGCCTAACTTGACAGACAAATTATGCTTTCAGAACGCAATAATTGTGGTAATGTCGGAAGTCGAAAAAATAATTGAGAAGGGGTTAAATTTCTTTACTATTTATTGAAAATAATTCAAGAGTTTTGATTGGCTATTAAAGAGCTGTCGGTGAAATCGTCATATCCGTCCGTAGCTGCCCAAATTTGGAGTTATGACATCACAGTGGAATATTGAAAACAAATATACCACGTTTGACGTAATTTCGTGGTATATTGAAAAACAGTGTAACACGCTATGACGTCACGCTAATTTATGCGGCTTATGCCAAAAACGGGAAAATACAAATGGCTTCCTCAAAGGAAAGGTTCGCCGACCTTTTTTGTGTATTCCGACAAATAAATAATAAAACAATTATTGAATTGGGTTCTCACACGATATGAGGAATTATTAAGGCCTGAGTTTGTGTTATCTGCCTCAGGCTTCGGCTGATAACCTCGGCCTTAATAATTCCTCATATCCTACTCGACCTCATTCAATAATTGTTTATTATAACTCCAGCAACATGTTCAACTCAGTGGATAAAAGCGGTATGCCATGTGCGCATTTGATCATATACTATAACATGTTAATTTAATATAAATATTAAATATTAGTATTATTATTATTATTATGTGAAAAAAAATTGATAAAGTGGGCTACTGATAATTTTTATATTCATTTTTCAACAAATTTACTTGTACAAAATACTTCAAATATACAAATTAGCAGCACGGGCAACAGTTTGGAGTAAGAAGGGTCAACAAAAATGGCCTGAATTATTTACATATATAGCCTACATGATCAGAGATTTTATCTAAAGATATAATTTGACACATTATAAATGAACAATTAATTCGAACAATATTTGTGCATAGAAGAACACCTAATGGGGGATATTTAAATATTGTTTTCACAATGAAAGAAGAGGTATTTCGATTAAAACCCTAATGACATACTAAGTCAAAAGGTCAAAAATGTTGAACAATTTTCCCTTATATATGTACTAAATGCTGTTTTAGTTCGGTATATCTTCTAATTTAATGGTAAAACAATTCGTACAGTGTTAATTATAACCATCTTAGAGGGGGCTAAAATAGTCGGTGTTATTATTGAGACAAATAAACGGATGGTTAAGAAACAGGCATAAAAGTAACTTGCCTGAAATCTCTGCGCAAAGTCAACAATAATATACATGCTAATCTTTATTTTGAGTAAATATCACACATCGTAACTTGATGAGAATGCCAGTCTGCTCTCTAAATTGGCAAGACTCTCACATATCAACATTCAATCGTTGAATGCAAATCACTCTAAGAAATTTATTATGGGGGTTGGTACATGGTATATGCAGAATAAACGTTAACAGACGTATTGCAAGCTATCACCTTGCTTGCGCAACGGACAATTGCGTCATTTTATCTCATGATCTTTCAACGCAAGATTAGTATTCCCCTCAATGAAATTTGAGAATAAATCTACATGCGTGTAAAATTCCTAGATACAAATGACCTGCCACGAGAAACAACTTGACGACTAATGCGCGTTAAAACAGCGTCGTCCTGCTTAAGTTGCCATGTCTAAAATTGTTTCGTGCGCAAGTTTTTATTATGATATTACAATTTAACGACACTTACAGAAGTATAAACGACGTGTAAATTGAAATTTTGTCTTATAATATTTGCACAGATAAAGATCCGGAGATTAAATAATCGCGGCGTTTCCACGGATTTCTTAGTCTCATATAACATTTTGGGGGCATGTCGTGATTTTCCATGACTATATTAGCAGATGAGAATTGGATTTCACAACAAACGGTGTTGTAAAACCACAAGCGAGTGATAATTAGGTACGAAACTCATCAACAGTGTCAAATGTATAAATATTTTCGTCATTGGAATTTGACACACTTACCACTGCATTTACTCGTACTGTTGACACCACCCCAGAATTATTAAGTGTTTATATTATGTACAATATGTACTTACCATTTCTGCGACCAAATCTTGTCTCTTATACTTTCGTCTAGGCAGAACAAGCTAGAAAAAGTCATACAATGTTATGGCATGTTTATATATGTTAAGATTTACCAAGATCCAACTGGACCCAAGGTGAAACACTGAAACAGTGGTGCCTGCTAAGTAATTTTCAGACTTTTGGAATTGTCAGAGTTTTGTCAGAGAAATTGTCAGAGTTTTGTCGTATCTCTGAAGACCTGATCCAATGCCCCCATAGACAAGGAATTTTAGGCATTTTAAAAATCTGCGAAAATGTTTGTTCTATCCCCACTAACTTCGCCGAGCTCTTGCAGATAGCAGATTCTGACGGCTTCATAACAGGACAGAAAATCAAATACCCAGATATACTCATGCAGTCTTTCTTTTAACCTCGACTTCAAGACCTATATGCATTCTTAGACTGGTAGTATAACTAACCCCAGACAGCCGGCTTACTTGCCTCTCTCCTTATGATTTGCTTCGACCAATCTTAACTAAACTAAACTAATCAGTAATAGTTCTTTAATATAATCGTAGATATATTGAAAGCATATTCACCAAACACTGTGACATCAACACAGAACACTTACTCCAGTAATGCCTTCAATAGATGCCTCTAGATCTCTCAGTCTTTCCGCCTCTTTCTCCGCCTGATCTATCTCCTGTTCTCCTTTGTTCATTCGTTCTGCCAACGTCTTGATCTCGCCCAGCCCAGAGAGCAAGTGCCCGTGGTCCGGATGTTCTGCAGGTGTGTATTTCAGTAAATCCTGAAACAAATGACATGCTTACATTTGCAAGGATACACACTCAGTTGAGCAATGATAACACTGGTATAATTACAACATCAGACTAGAATATCTGCGATTTGATTCAGAAATACGGGTGATAACATTAACATGACAGAGGTGGGATCTCACGTTACATTGCCGGAATGATATCAGTTTGAAATGAGGGTCATCCGCGTCCTCTGACAATGCACACATGTCTGTTCAAAAGGACGCAATCTTAGCTTTTGTGTATTCATAGTTAGAACGGATTATCCACTTCGTTTCTATATTATGCATTGTCTTTCGCTGCTTTAGATTCAATATCGAAAAAAGATGTACAAAAAATATTGTACATGCAATATACATATGGTATCGACATAAGATGGCCTTCCTTAACATTAACACGCATACCCAAGATCCATCATATCAACGCCAGATTATTTGTAAACCATATTCTCTTCAGACTTGGACAATTTCCTGAGTGTGCTATCCACAGGAATATGCAAAGCCGAATAACTGGAATACTTGAAGGGAACCTCACATTACCACGTTGAACATGTAGTTGTACATGATAACACAAACAATGTTTTGTGATCAAGACAACACTACAGTAGATAGCCCACTCAATAAGATGGAAGCCGAAACAGTTACCGAACAATGCGACAGGTGGTGACTGCGAGCAACCGCCGTTATGACAGCCTGGGTCATGGGGTTATACAATTGCAAACTTTCCCTAGTATATATAACAAAATGTAGCGAAATTGGTGGGAAGAGACGCAATAACGTCTCGACAACATGAAAAATTCTTTAATTAAAGAGAGACACATTTCGAAGAAATTGTTGATAATGAAGATTGTGAATTACTAATTAAGAGCATCTCAAAAAATGTCTGAAAATAAAAAAAAATTCGGTGGAATTTTGAAAATCCAAAGTCCGTTCCACGAAGATATCTAAAAAATCCCGAAAGTAAAAAAAATTCCTAGAGAGTAATATGCATAGACATACTGACGGTACGAGTCATAAAAGTGAAAAATTCAGTTTCAATTATCTTGTTTAACGCCGTTCGGCGTTAGGTCACACAAAGCAAACAATATTTTACTAGCCTTTTTGCGGGCCCAAAGAAAAGCTGTGTAGTTGTGGGGGTATTGAGCTACAGCCCAGGGTAGCAGATGCCCAAACCTATGCTACCTTAACCTTATCTGCACGATGTGATATATACAGAACTCGTACGATTATAATTAAGTGGTTAATTAAGAGTATAATTAAGTCGGTTTGGTATAGCATGTTAAGCGATAATATCAAAATTCAAAAGTATTAATTATATACATGTATAGCAAAACTAAAATTTTTCAACCCGAACAGAACATTTCCATATCCACGAAACACCATATTCATTGCATCATTTTAATAAAATTAGTGATTCTAAACATGTGGCTGATGATGTTTGATGATTTATTTTTAATGATCCACTGTCCAACGCTAAAGCCTTCGTGAGCTCAGCACAATACGAGATACGAACCTGGAAACGAGACTGCTATAAAATATAGAAGGTGGTCGACGAAGCAGAACCCCCTCGCGCGTAAAATATTTAGAATTATATAACTTTAGCGCATCTACAACAATATGAGTGGAAAACAGCAAACGCCAAAGATTTGAAACAAACCAATCATGTTTTGGGCATTCGTAGCACCAAGGTTGTGCCGAGTAAAGGTGTTTAGCAAAATTATCTTTCTTAGAAATAATCCATGGACAAATTTGTTTAAATTAAACAAAACAAAAACAGTGTGCAAGTTTAAATAACGTTAAAAATTGAGTTTTCTAGGTGTGTAGTTGGCCGATTCGGGATTGTTAGAACCATTACTGCTGCAATAGACCTTTCCGGAAAGTACGTCACTTTGGTTATAGAGCCTCGTTTTCGTGTATCTGACATTAGTAAAGCCTAACATCTCAATCAGGAATATGAGGCTCTATAGCCAAATGTGACATACTTTCCAGAAGTGTGCATTAAACAAATATTGGTCAGCTATCTTGTGACGTCATACTTCTGTGACTGACGTAATATATTTCTGTTGAATTTCAAGATACGTTTGCACGAGACTGCAAAACGTCTTTAAAATGAATACGCCTGGCAACAAAACGTTTTTATCTGAGGAAACATAAAGATATTCACGGGTACTGGTTAATTCTCAATTGCAGTAGAGTGTATTTGTACTTGCAAATAAGTTGGTAAAGATTACCACAGGGCCTTTTAATATTTCAACGGGGGCAAGTCAAGTCCCCCGCCCCTCAGTGGACTATGTTGCCTCCCCCGCCTAAAGGTACCTTTTGTCTAATATACTGACCAAACCTTTGTCTAGAAGAAAAATATCAAATTGTGTCTGCAAATGCAGGAAATCCTTAGAGGCTCGAAAATACGAACGTTTTCTGGGGTTGGACCCCTACAGGTTCGCCCTTTTACAGTTCACCATCTCCTTATTCCGTCCCTTTTCCTTGATGCCTCCACCTACTGACAATTTCTTAAAAAAATGCCCTGTTAATATCTGTCATACTTACTCGTGTGGATAGGGATCTGAATTACTTGGACTGATTTAGGAACTGACCACCGAACGTCTGCACCTTATCACACCAATAATAAAATGGTTTGTTCTCTAAGCAGAGTACTACTCCAGTTGGCTATGAGTTAGCAAATGGCACGTGACGTGAGTCTGCTTGGCACTCTATATCCGATACCTTGTTGGCATAGGTCGTGCCCAGGCTGCGCGCGGTTCCTATGATATTAACCTTGGCAAAATACACAAACTACAGTGTCTGGAAAAGAGTGGGTGGGAGTTGAAATCCCTGGTTATCTTAGCGGAGTTTTATTTCTGGACCTTAAAAAAGCTTTTGACACTGTCGATCACCACATCCTTTTGTAGAAGCTTAAATTATACGGTATTAGAGGGAATAGCCTTAAATGACTTAAATGGTTCGATTCATACCTTAAAGGTAGAAATCAAATTTGTTCTGTGAATGGCAAGATGTCAGCTGCTAGAGAAATAGGATGCAGGGGTGCCACAGGGCTCTAACCTTGGTCCTATTCTACTTCTATTGTACATCAATGATCTTCCCAATAGCTTAGAGTCAACTAAAGCAAATTTATTTGCTGCTGACACAAACCTTTCCTGTGAAAGGCTAAGTCCTCACGAAATTGAGACAAAATTTAAGAAAGGATAACAGCTAACAGCTAACAAACTCTCCTTAAATATGAAAACTGAGTTCATGATAATAGGATCAAGACATCACCTAACTTCAATTGAAAATAGCCCAGTACTAACATTAGGGGGAAGTAATATCAAACGCGTTTTTGAAAAAAAGTCACTTGGCATGATCCTATAGATGAGCAACTGAAGTGGGACAAACATAATGATTCACAATGTATAGTAATTTCAAATAAGATCGCCCTTTTGAAAAGGGCAAGATCGTTTGTTCCTGGAGAAACTTTAATAGAAATGTACAATGCCTTGGTATATATATATATATATATTGTATGTCATAGTTTAGTATATACACGGAAAACCAGTAACATAAATACTTATCCATGCACTGAATAGGCTACCGTGTGTAAAGAATTTTAATTAAAGATTAACTTACCGTTATTATCAGTACGTATCTTGGAATCCTTTGAACTGGCATAATCATCAAATCTTGTAAAGTAAGCTTCTCTTTGTGATCTCGTGAACGTTGCTAAAACCAACACAGAATTTAGAAACTTATATTGCATATAATATTACATACAAAGGCCCAAAGGCGTAGCTGGCGTAGCTTAAGACGCATGATGATTTTCAATGGGGGAATCTCCCAAGTTCTTTTCCGGCCGCATCAGACTGCAGTTTACCATTAAACTCTGGGAACGTTTACTCTGTGTAACAGCAGCCAATTTTATTTGTAAATGAGAGTTATCGGACGGGAAAAATTAAATCCTTTTTGTAGAATGGACACGTAATGTTCCATAGAAAGTGAGATTTCCTTACGTATAGTATTTAAATTCGCATAGACCGTGTACAGCATGTGCGCGAAATTCAAACTGAGCGAAAAATAATCCGCGCGAAAAGGTTTCCTGCATGCTGAAACATGCGCAAAGTGATGTTACATGAGTGATGTAACACGAGTGGTAAAGGTTTGCCACGGTTACAAGAAATATTAGAGTCTTAGACAAGCAAATTAGAAATTATTCTATATAACGTTTCAGCTATCAGATCGTTGTTAGTCTTGTTACATTCACATAAAGAAACTGTCCTGCTTATCTTTCTCTTGGGATTTTTCGGTTCAGGTGGCCTGGAAATTTTAGTATAGTTTTTATCGTTTCAAAGTGCGGAAAAGTAGAACTGCACGAAAATATTGCAATTTAGAGTGCGCGAAAATGAAATCGCGCTGAGCGAAAATTATTACCGCGCGAATTTAAATACGTAATTTAAACCGTGATTTAACCTTACAATAGAGAGGTGATATACACGTACCCGTACCCGTAAATCGGGGAACGATTTGTAACTTAAGAAATCCAAGATACTCCGCCGTGAGAAAACCGATCAGAGAATGGTAACTTTCGCAGTTAAGGTTTACCATAGATTGTTTATGTGCATTAATTTATTATTTATTTGGGTAAGATGTTGAAGTTTTTGCTATTTAAACGGCCATAAATAATAAACAGACAACACCCGTACCCGTTTGTCGTTTACGTGTAGGCCATGGTTTACCGCGGGGAAACGGGTAGAAGTTACGGGTAAAAATGCTGACATCAGCAAAACTTGGTAAACAAAATGGCGATACTCGTACCCGTAAACCGGAACCGGTGTATCTTAACCTCTCTAATAATTGCGTTGACACGCATGTACCTCGCAATACTTTAGAAATCCAGGTTTGGCCAAAGCTGCTGCACTAACGGCTGTTCTAGCACGTAGAAAGTTGTTGATAAATTGACTGTACGCATCCACCAGTAGGCACTTGGTGAACTAAATAATAAGAGAAATTTAAGTATATATATTTGAGGCAAAAATATCCCTTTTCACATGTACGCATGATCGGAATCCTGAATTTTACAATCAGTGAGAAACACGTAATTGGAGCGTGAAATTGAGCAGGCCTTGGAATAGGTTGTGACTTAAAAAAATCACGTACTATTGTATGATTTACAATAATATCGTCAGCGCAACTGCATGCCATCAATAGTAACAGGATGTTTCAGTTGATTGACTGAGAGCAAGACAATTTCTGAATAACGAATATAAACTTTAGTCATTCAGTTAGAAAGAGGAGCCAATCTCGTACCCGCATGCTCGGCATGCCCAGGACCTAACCTGCGAACGGGCATACTCTGGGTATGAGATTGAGGAGGAGCTGGAAATAACAGCAATTACCTTGCTGTTACCTGATCATCATGCAGATAGCCACCATCGTGTCTGTGGAAAACAATTTGTGTAAAATGCAGCGTAATCAAAAACAGACCATTTCTCGCCTTTCTCCTCTGCATAGGCTTTCTGTGCTTGCAAGTGTGCAAGATGAAAAGGCGTTAGAGGTCATTACCATATAGAGCCAGGAAGCCTCTGTGGAGGAGAGAGCTTTCATGCTGTTCTGACTGTCGATCGAATCAAGTGCTGGAACACATTTTAGACTCATGTTAACGATTCCTGGAACTGTTGATAGCAGCTGCACGGTGGATAGTGCGGATGTGCTACTCATAGCTAGATTTCTGGAATCCTACGTTTTGGGGTCAACGTTTTCTGCCGACCTCACTAATATTCTTCCTAATAAATGACTTTCTGCGCCCGTTAGCATTATGCAATTGCCCTAAAATATTTTGCCAGTTAAGCCAAGTCTGAAAGGTTTCTGTGATCCTACATGCCAGGATCCAGTATTATTTTCTCCTATGGAGCTAATCATATCGCGGAGGACGCAGCTCAAACTGAGCTATACGACCCACATCTGATCGCAGAGCATAGTTACGATACGAGTGTAAGTTGTTTTGGGGATTCGTTAACTCAACCTTTCAACATTCCCTGTGTGGGGAAACCGGAGCACCCGGAGAAAATCCACGACATTCAAAGCAGCGTTAACTAACTCTTTTCACATAAAGTGTCATAGACTGCAACGAATCGAACCCACGATCTCAGAGGCGCTTGCTCTGATGATAGAGAGGTTCAGATTTGACTTCCACTACCTCTCACAGGCGTAGTAAACATCTGATTGGTTGATCGGATATATCAAACGCATCTGATTGGCTAATTGTCCCTTAACGGTAGCGGTAGTGGACGTCAAAACTGAACCTTACTAATTGCGCCCCCAAGCCCAGTGGTGGCGCAAAGGTCAACCTCCGGGAAAAGCGCATAACCTCGGATCCGCCCATCAGAATTATCACAGGAAATGTTTGACATATACCAAACCACACCCATTGCACCACTATTTTATTAATTCTCTGACTTTGAAGTGGTAAACACATGGACTATGGAGTATAGCCAGATTGCGATGAGAAAATAATGTTGAGACATGTAGTCTAATAAGGCAATGACCACCATTTGCTGGCCAGTGTCAAGCTCATGCATTAAGCCCCTAATTTAGTCATTATCTTGCTTCCCTCCGCTCTAGTTATCGATCGCCCCAAACTCTATTACATATATGGGCTGAATACGATTGGATGTATGATGAGACTTTACGTCCTGTTCTTCATGGATCCTTCCCTATGGTGAACTATATCTGTCTGATGGTGCACGCTGAACGGAGGTCAACTATATCATTATAAAAGTTTATTAATTTACGTCAAGAATAGAGCACAGTGGACGGCAATGGTAACGAGGGGCATCGCATAAGTGCGAAGAGAGGCGAATCGAGGAAAATAAGGGAAAAGGTTATTACCAAAAGAAAAGGGCATCAGCATCTGGATGATAGCTTTGTGACTGATTCAGAAAAAACGCAGCTTTTCGGAACAGTGACTTTCATCGGCTCCATTTAACAATTACTTTTGTGTCCAGAACAGCGACATTGCTTGGTTGTATGGAAAACCTCAGTTCAATTAAAGGAGGTCTCCTGAGCAGCTGCGTCCTGACTCTACTGATTTCCCTACGTCAGCAAATTGAAGGGTCACCAAAGGGCTCACGCGATCGCAAAAGAATAGTTGATGCAGAATTTAGTTGGCTAAAACAAACAAGATTACTTACAGAAGATACAAAGATGTCGCCAAGTTTAGAATTATCACTCCAGTCTTGAACACGAACTGCCAATTGCTTAAGAAAACCTTCATGGTACTTTAAAATTTCTGGAATCTGATAAAACATTTCGTTCACCAAAGCTGGTTCCACAATACTTTCGCTCTTCCGTAGAGGATTCAGGTACTCCTGTGAATAAAAAGAAATATTGTAAATGTTTGATATAATCTCAAGTTACTATCAACATCTTCAGTGACAATATTGCATGCAGTAGTAGTAATACCATACATGCATTAACATCCTTCCAATAAAATACAGAACAGAAAATACATAATATTACGTTACGTGAAATAGGTCTGTGATGTTACTGTGAAGAAGTGTACCGTATGTGATAGGAAAATAAACGAATAACAGAGTCAGAGTTTAAAATAGTTATTGAAAATCAATATGAAACAAAATGACTGAGGCGAAAAAGGGGAATTCTGCAAATAAAATCTGATCCTGATGTTTCGCGTTGCCGTCAAATGTAGAGCTTAAACTCTTCAATGAAAACTTCCGTGTGGGTAATGTATGCTTGCATGCAAGATGGAATGCTATCATGTGTCGACATAGGACTTTCGTCCCGAGGCCTGTTAGAAAAGTGAAAGGAAAAGACACGTCGAGCGTGCTTTTATAATAAAATAACCACATAATTAAGATGGTTCAATGTGTTATTTTAACAGAATACCCAGATTCTTCATTCCATTGGGTATGTCGAGGGTGGTCAAAGTACGAAATGAGTAGAAGATATACGTCAGTTTAGGTAACTGTTGTATCTTCGAACTCCCCAGAAAGATTGTAATGTGTTTGAGGGCCTTTTTATTCTTGTCAGTTTCATCCTTGTCCCCTGGGCCATGCTAGCTATTCTCGCTGAAGTCGCGCAAAACCAACAGCCCAGGAATTTCGCGCCTAGTACCAAACAAACAATCTCCCAGAAAACGGACTTTGAGAAAATACCAAGAACTATGAATCGTCATATTCCTTCTCAATGGGATTTCAACCCCCTCCCCTTCATTAGAATGTACGTATTATTATTGAAGGAATTAAGCCAACAGTTCCTGTTTCGCTGTTTACAAGTTCATTGGAACAAAATCACGCATAAAATGTGACGATAATGCTAAAATGATCAAAATAGGCGAAAAATCTAAAGAATGTGTTGACATGAAACTCCAATGTCGTAAAACGAATTCCAAACTCAAAACAAACAACATGTCTCACACGGCGAAAAATGAACAGAATTTTGGCCAACCGGCTATGAACGATCCTATTCAAATAGTAAATTAAACAATATCTGCCTCATGCATACATGTATGACTTAAAGCTTGCAGTAGACTCGTTCTTACCAAATGATCAAATTATTGATCATCAAATTATTGATCATAGGTATAGCGGGACTGCCCTTTTTCTGGGTTATAACTTGCGGCTTGAATATTTTGCAGTTAGTAAAATGTACGTCTATATGCGAAATTTCATTTGAGATCATGATGAAATGGTCATTAATTAGTATTATCTTGTTTTTTATGCTCATCATCAGTTATATTACCATGTATTTCATAAAAACAGTAAATAAAATTTTTGTAAATTTTGTTCCAAGATTCTTGTTTCGATACTATTTACTGCACTTTAACCTGGACACTTTTCAGCCCTTTCTAGTTATGATTTAAATTCGAAATGCTGTAAGCAGATCCACGTAGAACTGAAATCGCATTAACCATTTAGGGATGTTATTATACTAAACAATATTATAGATGCATGCACTGTACATTGCTCTGTATATATGGTAGCCAGGAACAAATTGGATTGTGATATATAACGAAAAAGTCCAAATTATTAGACGGATAAACAAAATATACTCCTGTGTGCAAATCCATGAGGGTTTCTTTAAGGTCATTTATACAAACAAATGAATGATGACCCCGTTGTTAGTGACACAGTGAACAAAATGCACTCCAAGGGAGCATTGGTAACAATCATTATTATATTGTCCACATGATGGCTTTCATCAAATTAACATCAGTATATCACGTCTGAATATATGCTGGGAATTAAATACTTTCTTTGCCTTTGGCAAGTGCATACTAAATCACCTTTTCTGAAACAAGTTAATATTCAGGCCTTAGCCAGGGGGTTTCCAGAATGGCAATTATACTTGATAATACTGACTGAATATATCAGTATAATCTAAAATTCCAGGCCGCATCTGTCTGGCTGAGTACTTAATCTTGGGTAAATGTAGGAGACTTTGCATACCCATGCATCTAGGCCTGTGGTCGATTATCTTTCTACTGTGAATAATAAGTCTTTATCTACTTTAACGACGATTTTTTTCATTTTTGGCATGGTACTTCCGTATATTAGAGTAGAAAATTGTGGAAAAGTTCCTAGACATTTGCAGTTGGACCATCGCGAGTTGAACTCATGGAAAATATGTACATGTATACATATGCATTACATATGTTCCCATGCAAGGACATGCATGCGTGGCTAAATGTTCGCTTTCAAATACATTAATCGAATGTCACTGAACATAGAACATGTACTTTATAGAACATATTAATCGAGTGTCACTGAATATGCACTGATAGTGATGCCGAAACATTGGCGGTGATATAGACATATAGTCGGTTTTCACACAATGGTTTCTCTGCGAAGACAGGTTCTGTACAAAGTCAAATGTACAAACTTTTCATTGTATAAGCGCTACCAGTTTACAAACATATTTAGTAGGACATGCCCGACAGCATGGCTGGCTGTTCTAGCAAGCTCAGTCGCGTGCATTATAAGCGCGTGGAATGAAAGGCCAATGCCTGCATCTATATTTAGTAATATGTTCTATTTTCGGACCAGAAATATTTGAGGTTTAATTCTAATGAAATCTTTGTTGACATCTGTTACTGGCAACGGATGAAGCACGGAAAATAACTACCGAGAATGACGTCTTATAAAGCAAATTGCAGGGTTTGGTTGAGTTGACGTCAATTCATACCGAACAATCCGTAAAAATTATTTCCCCCAGTTTGAAATGATAGCTTGTGAAGAAAAACAACAATAGCAATGAAAAGTGGCCTTCAAATTGGTCACATCTGTTTTTGATCTAACGTTATTGTGATTGCATGTGCGCTTCAAAGTCAGCTTACTTAGAAACATAATATCATGACATGAATTCTGCGCTGTCAAACATAAATGTTGTGAAGATTTCGAAACTCCTGTAGTCCTGTAGCATATCTCGAAACAAACCAGAAACAATGTGAACGTGTAAAGTCGCTACTAAAAAGAACATGAATCATGATGTAAACTGCCGTACACGAAAAATGACATTGGAGAAGTCAAAGTTCACGATCTGTGATTTTATAACATTTTGGGACACCTGTTAATTGTTTTCACAGATAAAAGTGATTGCCAGAACCGCCAATACATAACATGCACTGGTCTCCGCAGGCATCACATGGCTCATAGTTACTGGGTTATACTAGGTTATTACAACCAAGGTTACTGGGTTATACTAGGTTACAACCAAGGTTACTGGGTTATACTAGGTTACAACCAAGGTTACTGGGTTATACTAGGTTACAACCAAGGTTACTGGGTTGTACTAGGTTACAACCAAGGTTACTGGGTTATACTAGGTTACAACCAAGGTTACTGGGTTGTACTAGGTTACAACCAAGGTTACTGGGTTATACTAGGTTACAACCAAGGTTACTGGGTTATACTAGGTTACAACCAAGGTTACTGGGTTATACTAGGTTACAACCAAGGTTACTGGGTTATACTAGGTTACTGGGTTATACTAGGTTACAACCAAGGTTACTGGGTTGTACTAGGTTACAACCAAGGTTACTGGGTTATACTAGGTTACAACCAAGGTTACTGGGTTGTACTAGGTTACAACCAAGGTTACTGGGTTGTAACCTTTGGGTACAGCCAAGCAAATACTTCCTGCCTTATTGGTACAGTAAAAGTTCCCATGTTTTACTATTAATTTAATTTATTCCGCTGGTATTTTTTACGAAAAGATCGCATGGTACTTGTGTGTGTGTTGCATTTTATGACGTAATTTGTATGCGGTCTGTATATTTTGCAACGTATCCAATAAAATGCTTCCGCACGCTTTCATTTTTATCCATAATCGGCAATGACATCCCTTATAGTTTCACTTTGCGCATGGCTGATGATAGATAGCGCTTCAGACTATGAATCGCAGACCTATTATATTTCATCCGTACACTGCAGTTTGAAAGCGACACAAGTCTGCTTCTCAGAGCAGGGTTTTTTATTTGGGAGTTATAAAAGAGCGCGCGAAAATGCGGGCTGGAGAAAATTGGGCAGCCTATCCCCTGATATGCAAATATGCATATTTAAATATTGTTTTACGTTATATATCTCAGGATAAAATTCGGATCAATTGGATTTATTAGTGGTCATTATAAAGAAATATATAAAAAAATACCGCAATAAAATATTTGAATATCACTGAAATATTCAGTAACTTACTCAATCTCGTTCCCCGAGCCTGCGATCCTCGGGAAAGAACGCGAGGCTCTGGGATAATCCGTTGCCGGAAGCCAAGAATTCTGGCTAGGATTGAACTACGCATTGCATTTCAACGGCCAATCAGATTCCTCCCTGAAACGGATTATCCCAGAGCCTCGCGTTCCTTCCCGAGGATCGCAGGCTCGGGGAACGAGATTGTAACTTACTTGCCTGACGTCATAAATTGATGCTAGACCCAGACTCCCGTAGGGTGGTTTTTGTAACTTTTTGGGTAGTTTCTTCACTACTATATTTTAGCGCGAAAATAGGAAAAGATCTTGTAATCAGCCAATCAGAAAGCTCTATTTTTGCTACGGTCGGGAATATTTAGTTATCAAGCTTTTCCTTATGTTAAAGATTTGAGCTTGAAAATAAACGTTGCATGGCCATGGGTAATTCTTTTTGTTCACCAGAGTACCATAAACATGACTGCCTTAGTATCAATAGATTACCCAGATACTACTTTTTACTTTCAAACCAGCGGTCATTAATAATTTTACCAACAATATCAGGCTTAGCCCTGATATTCGTAATGCCTGCATCTGTCTCCTTATTTATATCTAAATTAAAATGTATTTGTTTTCTTGTAGTGTGTAGTGTGTAGTGTGATATACTTTATATAGACTTTTCTCTGTGTAATTTTTTTCTTTATCCTACTTTCGAGTCTGTACCCATTCCTAATTAATTAATGTGCTTTTCAATATCACGAGGAGTCCAATGCAATTATAAGCCTTATGGTTTCTAATTGAGCTTCCCCGCCACCTTACTTTATTTCTACTTTATGTAATTTTTTTCTCCTTTCTTGTAATTTTTTGTGGCAAATCATTAATAATAATAATAAACATGAGGAGTGGAAGCGGTGAAAGGGAGTTATTTAGTAGCATCAAGGCACGATCTATGAGGTACATATAACCAAGCCGGCATATTATTTTAAGTGCTCATGTCGTTGATTAACAAATACAATTACCACACATTTTTGGTCATGCTTTTAATAGTGGTTGTGTAAAAAGCAGTGTAATATCTATAGCTGGAACAGTTGCCTAGGATGAAAAGAATGACGCAATCTCTCCCTGTTTATCGCTTGTTAATAACTTAACACTAAGGCCTGTTTCCGAGCACATTTAGTAATTCCGGCTTAAAACTCAATGTGAACGAAAATTTATCCTCGATTTCCGTACAACAGACTGCGTTAATCTTTTGATGAATAATAATCTGTATGGGCCTAAAGTTTTTATCTGAAAACAATGAAGCACCAAGTGTTTTCCGTTCGTCACCGCGTGATACAGATTATGGACTGGACTCATAAATTAATACAGAAATTAGAAACCAACTTACTTAGCCTAGAACACAATACCAAACTCACACCTGCCATAAATTGACCTACGGCTACGCACGATGTTGGGTTAGAGCGACCTAAGGCTAAACTACCAGTCGGATGTGAGCGAATTAAGATCCGTAAAAAGGCAGAATTTCAAGTTTTCAATTGTTGCTATTTGGCTACTATAATAAAGCAAGGCGATTTAATGACTTGAAGGTTACAGAACAATGTCAATAGAAACTGAACTCGTATATAATAAAGTTTTTATCTATCATGTGTATACAGTGACAGTGTAGTCCAGGTTTTAGACCATGTTCTTTGTCTCAAAGACATCAACAGCGATATTTAGCAATGTATAAATCAGCGTGCGTTTAGTTACAGCCTGTCAACGAATGTGGAGAATTACAAAACATTTTATAAACCACGGAAATGCACACAGAAAACAATCCGCTTGGGAAACTGTTTTAGAAGTATTCGAAAGTGAATCGACCTTGCTGAGAAGAATATTTTAAGACTGTATATTGCGGCACAGCTAGCAACCTTGACCTTGCCAATTTATTGAGCATCGCTATTGTGAGGCAATGTTGGTTTAATGTATTTATAACGTTATGTCACAAGGAGTATAATACGGTGTACTCGACAAGTAAAAACATCCGCATAAACATTACTAGTCACGAAAAGAAATTTATCCAAGTATTATATGAAGGTTGAGAATTTCAAGATTAAACCAAAACAGTAAAGTTGAGTCAGTACAACTAAAATTATCCCCCATCAAGTATGTTAATTACGGCTTACTTGGCTATTTTACTTCTATAATATTATTGCTGAGAGCAGTTTGCGATAGTTATATAATTTTCTCTCAAACTGTCACACGTCACCTCATGCATGGGCATGCATGCATATACAGACTGTACTACAAGTCAATATATTCATCCACACCATCAATAGACAACACGTCTGGTATTATTAATACAGTAACTTGAAGGTGGTCGGACACCGTACTTTAATGTTTTGTTTTCTACCAGAAAAACATGCATCAGTTCAAGAGCAACTGCATTTCTCATTCTGACTTAACGTGTGTATATCAGCTCCATTTTTATTCGACCTTAAGCGTCACGCTTAAGGGTTTAGCGGGAAATAGCAGAATTGAATTTTCCTCGGAATTATCTTGGCATAATTTTCGTTTAACGATCGCTCCATATCTTCTTTCTTGTTTCAAAACAATAAGTTAATTTACTGACTTTACTCTTTAGCATATAATTTCTCTTTGGCATTTGCCCATGCAAATCTGAAGAATCGTATGAACGCGAAGTCTTAGCTGTACTGTAGTCTTAAATATCGTTTTCATATAAACAAATTTAGCAAATATGTTCATAATTTGGATGCAATCCTAACCTTTGGCTTTGTTTTTAAGTATTGGGAACAAATTTAAATGTCTTTTCTGTGCATGAATTAATTATAGAGTTGCGTCATGTTGTCACTGTTCTATTGTATGTATCTCAGTATATTTGAAATTCGAGGATAATAGCGTTTGAAAAGAACATTTGAATAAACCATTGAGAATGACCTTAGTAGGCAAAACGACCTGCAGGGTCAGGTGAAGACTTATAAGGTTTTATGCCCTAACATGACTGAAACCTGCAGTACAATTCACTATGCTATATGCCTTCGTGCCAACACGGTCATACCAGTTCTTAGTGGATTACCCCAAACATGATATAATTGCCTAGAAATTGTGGCTAAATTACTATACCAATCACAAGGTCAAGACAATAGCCACAGAAAAACGACAACATTAAATATACATTGATGTAAATTGATTAATGATAACTCTTTCCTGCCCAGACGCCCCCTACTTGAAAATTGCCTGGGTATATGTCTATTGCATGCTATCTATAAAGGCGGCCGATACACAGTCAGAATATACATTATATAGTTTGATGGCTCCCATTCACCGGCACAGTCGAGAACAAAGAACCATAACATGAATTCTATTATGATCAGCACACTCTATGTTACTGCATGCATCGGCCATAGTTCTATATATGTACATGCCGACCTTTCCTGCAGGCAAATAAAATGCAGTCATTATTTTATATATAATACCAATTATAGTATGACAAGACCGTGATTATGTCTTATCCTGAAAGCAAGTACTCCACAGATACGATGTAATCAGGGTATTATATATAATGTAAGTCCTCGAAATATTTTGACAAGTTTGACAAGGCTTTGATAGAATGATAGCAACAAATAGAAATGTGCATGATAAATGGTCTTATTATATATTGTGGGAATAGACAATAGCACTTTTCCTAAATAACCGGTTTTAAAGTAGCTGTCAGGCAGTGATCAATGACAATTAAATCAATCATTTTAGCTAATCCATCAACATTAGTCAATGATAATTGACTTAATCATATTGAGGTTCTGAGAAACGCATCAAAGACTCTAGCTAATTTGAGTCATAAAATTAGGAGCAGCGAAGATTTGAATAAAACCAAAGGTTTGCTGTACTATTTCAAACTTACGGTATAATATAATATAGTACGGCATGGCATGGCATGACATGATAATGGTATAGTTTGGTAGAGTAGGGTAGGGTAGGGTAGGTAGGGTAGAAAAGAGTACAATATAGCACAGTACAGTAACATGAGTATAGTACAGTACAGTACAGTACAGTACAGTACAGTACAGTACTGCAGTCAGTACAGTACAGTACTGCAGTACAGTACAGTACAGGTACAGTACAGGTACAGTGCAGTACAGTACAGTGCAGTGCAGTGCAGTGCAGTGCAGTGCAGTGCAGTGCAGTGCAGTGCAGTGCAGTGCAGTGCAGTGCAGCGCAGTCCTACCTTGACAAGGTACTGAAGACTTTGGACGTAAGATTGTTCAGTCTCTATCAAGTTTTGAACAACATGCCATCTCATTTCCTAAATAAAAAAATAATGACAGATTACAAATACAAGAACGTTGCACCAACAAGTTTAGTACTTGTAAGGTTTATAGAACGACAACTGTCCATTGAACTGTGTACAGTATTATTGAAATTGTTTGTCAACTTTCATGACAACAACATTTTTATGACAATACTGTTATTACGGATAAATTGACATGCATGTAAACAGGGAAACAAACCTTGGTTAAAAACTAAACTCGCTGCATGGTAAATGTTTCTATATAATTACAAAACAGCTTTAAATTTACCCAGCATTATTGTATACCCTTAAAGCCAAACCTTTGCATGTCCCCAGTTTCCATATACAGGAATACATAAGAGCAAAACATCCACTTACACTTTTTGTAGCTTTCTTTTTCTTTCCAGTTGGCGCTTCCGCACTTTCAGGCTCTGTTTTTGACCTCGGCCATGTACGATGTTCTGTGATTGGCTCTTCAACATTTCCAGTCTTTCCACCAGAGTCTCCGTCTGCATCACCATCACCATGTTTTGTGTTTTTGGCATTTGCCTCAATCTGAGCAGCAACCTTCGCGGCTTGTCTCCTCCGAGCTTTCTCACTTTCTCTTCGCCGTAACTTTTGTTGTGGCTGTGCATTACCAGCCAAATCTGCGGGGCTTGATGTCGCATGTTCAATACTTTTTTTATGTTCAGCGTTCTCTTCACGTTCAGCAGCCTTAGCCTTAGCAAGATCAGCAGCTTGTTCCAAAAGCTTACCATTGATTGCAGGTTCACTGTTACTGTTCCTGGGTTTGATGTCATACTCTGTAATAGTTTCTTGAATAGTAGTGTAGTCTTCTTTTACTCGTGGTGTAGGGTCACTGTGATATCGACTGGGATACATTTCAGACAGAGGCGATACACCAACATCTTTATCGATGTGTTCACTTCCCGAGGTTGATTTCTCACTGTTAATACTAGTTTGACTGGGACTTGGTGACATGACTACATCACTAGCAGAACCCGCACTCTTACCATCAACATTACGTGATAACGCAGGTCGTTCTTGACTACCAGGTTTCTCACTCAATTCAACAACAAGTTCATCAAGAAGTTCTAAAGATTTATCGATGTCACTTTGTTCATTCTTTTCATGTCTTCGTTCTACTTTACCATCTGCCCGCTGCATGTACGTCGAGTCTGCTTCAGAAGCAATCAGTTTAACTGCAGTACTTGGGTCATCTATAGAGTTACTGCGCTTGCGTTGTTCCCGGTTCACATCAGATGCAATATTAGTTAGTTGTGGAGCACTTTCCTGTCTCGAAACTTTTATCTTAGCTTCCACGTGTCCTAAAAATTACATGAAAATAACTTAATAAATTTCCTATAAAATGACATACAGTACATGTACATTTGAAAGAAATGGACGAATAAATTTTGGATAACTGTACGCCATGACAAAACAAACGTATATAGTCACGGAAGATGAAGTTTAAGATACACTGCAGTACACTATAGTACAGCATCGTTTTTGTCGAAACCCCATGCATCAGTAGGATGTCTATATACGTTCTCTGAATGGTCAATTCCAGATTTTTGTGCAACTGATAAAAATATGCCAAGGCACCCAAACCAGAAACATGCACGTACAGTAACTTACTAAAGAGTGCAAAATTTCGAGCACAAAATTGCAATCTCCAAAATAACGTGCACAGATTTTCTCGAGGGAATATTCTGGGCTTCCTCAGCCTATTCTCACTAGATCTATATATCCTCGACTATCTATGCAATTGATTTAAAGAACCTTTAAACTTGGGGGTTCAGCCTCGCCCAATGTAATAATATTTAATATTTATATTGCGCAAATTAACATGTTATAGTATATATGATCGAAGTGCACATATAAGATACCGTGGATATTGATACCCCTTGCCTACAACATAACATACATTGCGAGCGAATGCCCTTCATCAGAAGAGTTGGTTACCAGGAGAGTGAGTACATATATACGTTACCAACACCCAGACACACTCTCCTGGTCTAAATGGACTTCGCTCGAACATCAAACTGTTTATAATGTTCTTTCAGGCTATGTTTTTTTCAGGTTGTGTATCACTGCCCACGGTTCCTTATACAAATGTCTTTAAAGTAACGTTGTAAGTCTTGTAAAATTGGAAATTGTATGCCATTAAGCACTAAAAGTAAAGTAATACGAGCAACAAAATTGCAGCAACTTGCAATAAAATCTGATTTCAACGCATGTTAATTGGAAATTTGTACTAATGTTGTCTCGGGTGTTGCAACTTGTATGTGAACATTTCAATTAACATGTGTTGAAATAAGATTTTATTGTAAGTTGCTTGCAATTTTTTTCTCGTATTACTTTACCTTAATTGCCCCGTTGTTTGTAGGACAGAGCTCCGTAACAATTATTACAAGGTGTTAATTATACACTGGAAGGTGTTATGAAACACAGGAAGTTCTAATCTGATATTGTACATAAAAGAAGTGTTGATAAATAGGTTGATATCTAACATACAAGCACAAATCATGCATAACCGCTTGCTGCACGATCATATAATTATATGGAAGACGTGTTCGAGCATTGACTTATTCGAATTTTGAAGCACAAACCGACTATACTACGTATTTTGTCTTACAAAACTCTCAGCTGGTACAAATTACGGATGTAATAAATTATTTTTATCTCAGCTGTTACAGCTATATAATTATAAATGACGTTCGTGCGAAGAAATTCGCAAGTGGAAAAAACCGGCTTAATAAAAATCTTTATTTAAATATTCAACATTTGGTATACAGCATTTCACAGTTGTTGGCATGTTTGTTGTATCTATACGATATGTATTTGCTGTATATCTGTTACGATTTCACTGCATATTGTCTGGTTTGGTATAAGATATAGTCTCTGCTGAATATAGTATTGACAATAAGTATTGTTACATAACTAACATTAATACACTCTATTTGAACTGGTACCAGGAAATTGCTATGACCATCTGTAAATTAGACATACAAACATATTAACATAACTAGACAATGTCAATGGGCAGTGTGACGATGATAAGCTCTCCAGCGGCACGAGTTCATCTGTAAAGTCCTTAGACAATCTTGGTCTCAGACAATCCGATTTCTAAATTTTGGAATTTGGCTCACATTCAAAAGCAAGACGTTAGCAAGGTTATTCAATTGACTTACGTATTATTTCATATTAAAATGAACGTATAAGAGTAAATCTAGAAAATAAGATATGCTTAAAACACCCAGATAATCCATGATCCTAATGTTACTGTATATAAACATTGGTGGGTACACACTGTACGCATTCGCGTTTTGATGTTGAAACAACAAACAGGTGTGAAAACACAACTTTTGGTTTACTGGTGGCGACATGTTGTAAGATTAATACACTTCTAGAAACTTCCTTACATATGTCGTCACGTATGACAAGAGGAAATATGCAAAATATGTACTTTCATATGGAGTGACTGACGAGTTAGCTACGTAGCACATTAAGATAAATATGGTTACATATAGATTTTAATTTCCCCCCTTTTTTTCACTTTGCAGTTCATTTTATATTTAATCTATTTCACATGTTTTTGCAAGAAAACATGCACACAAATAGTATTATTACACCTGACATGTTACACACAACAACAGAGATGTATTCAGTCAAGGGGTCCCATAGCAATACATGTGCTTTGCAATGTCATTACCAAACTCTGATTAGCCTGTAAGCAGGCCCTGATAAAATATATTGATTTCTGGTAGGCAAGCAGTACTACTGTAGTTCATGCAGCACCTGGCCTCTTTAGATAAATTTTCCAGAGACCTAATTTTTACTCAGTGCTTTACACGTTCTCTGACAGTTTCAAAACGTTTATGTTTTGAGAAATCATGTCCAAGGCAAAGACGTTTAATTGCTTTCCTTACCCCATTCTCTCAACTGCACCATAGTATTGTTCTACTGTACAGTATGTGCCTCTTTCACAATATAGTGATTGGCAAATGCCTAAAACGTCAGTATGTCATCATGAAAAGTACAGTAAGAATTTTGAAATGTGCCAAACATTCAGTTCTTCATTGTATAGAGAGAATACAACAGTTATTTGACGTGAACCACTTGTACCTGTCTGTAATAAGATGCCTAGCTGTATTAATTCTCAAGCACTTCAAAATCTTAGACTTTCTCAATCATGATCATGGCCATGGACATCTTTCAGCAAATTGTTTATTCCTGGATAAGTACTGTAGGATGCCATTTCATTTTGTGATGGAATTGTTTCACATTCTTTCATTATACATACAGTACTATTATTGAATACAATTTAAGTGATAATTTAAAGTTCAAATCCTAACAGGTGTAGAATTATATTATGATTATTACAAGCTTGTTTAGCATCTCTTACTGAAGAAAAAAAACAGTTTTTAAATATATTTGTCCTGCTCTAAATGTAAATATACAAGAAGAAATATTTCATGTTTTTCACAAGTTCCACTGCCATTGGGAACAACCGAATGTAGTGCTTGGAAATGCAAACATTACTTTGTAATGTTAAAGGTGTTCAAAGGCTAGTTAAGCCAGGAATGCACTCATGCCTATTCTTATCACTTTTGATGGTAAACATATAAATGTAAAAAATATGCTTAAAACATGTCAAATGGCATTACAGCCTAATGTGGTTATAAGAAGACATGCAACTCATCACTAATAAGTACACATATTATAGTCTATACATATACAGTACTAATTAGTTAATTTATTACATACTTACGGTAAATTGCAAATCGAAGTCTTGGGTGAATATCCATCTCAATGCATTTGGGATTCTTTTGGGATGTTCTTGCAAGGAAAATTATAAAATACCTAATGCCTATTTCTTGAATTGTCATTAAGATATGATACCACCTGAACAGCTGAATTTAGAACTATAATATCGATAAAACTATAGTTATCGGAATAACACAGGTGTCAATGTGATTTGTACAAGTAGTGTATTTTTTTTACTGCAGAACAATCTTGAAGTAAGAATTATGTTTCATAGAAATTAATTGCATCAACATGCATAATTTCCTAGAAATTTTGACTTAGATATTTTAGTATATCCTAGTTTAAGGTTTAGCATTCTGTACAACAGTAACAAATTGTCAAGTATTAGGCTAAATAGATGATGCCCTTGCCCATAGGGTCAAATATGTCTAATTGTATCTGTTCGGAAAAAATAAAATTTACTGTACAGTACGTAGTTGGAAAACCTCATGAAAATATACTCTTTGTTGTAGAACAGTAACCATAACATATACTAATCTGTCGTTAGACAGAGTAAAGTAATAGGTAAGGTGCATTGGGGCACCCAATGCAACTTAAAAAGTTAAATTTCATGTTAATTCATGAAAACAAGTAACTGATATGCATAAAGTATAGAATGCCATAAGACAATGCAAAAGCACTCGGCTTGATGGATTGTAATTGGATCCCTCTATATTAGAAACCAAATCTTGAAATTTATGTATGTATTAAGAATTTTGTTCAAGAAACAAATTTATGGTACATATTTCTAAATATTGATTTTGCACTGAGCAAAATTTGAAAAGCCTGTACTAGTATCAGAATACTTGAATTGTTCTTTAAGATTTGAGTGTAATGTTTCATTACTTCATGCCATGTAAACATAGAAAATGTAAATAAAACTTGAAACAAGACTTAAATTGTCTAAACATGTCTGAGATTGCATATGACCAAATATTTTATGCATACATGTAGCTATCAGGTTTGAAAAGGGGTTCTCTTCCTGGTATACCAGTGTATACAGCAGAACTAATATTCATAGGAGGATGCTTTGCATGTTGAAAACATGATGTTTCAAGCAGTATCTTTGTCTGGAGATTTAGTGGACAAAATATCTAAACCTATATGCTTGAACTATTATGCCTATACCAAGTACAGATTTTGAATCTACCCACAAGGCCATATATCAGATGGTTTCACATGCACAAATGATGTTCAAATCTAAATTTTTAAATATGTTTTCGCCTTGCATATTTGATAATCAATATAATTCTTCTATGATAAAACAATCAATATCTTGTTTTGTTGAAACCAACACTCATTCTTATTTATTTCACAAAGTTTTTTATTCGTAAGACTTTGTCAGTGTAAATTATGAAGATTGATTCATGCAGGCCTATGGATTGAAAACTTTGCAAAATAAATTTATAATTTTCTGATGAACGAAAGAAGCAGAAAGCTGTGTGTGAAAAGTGTTGTTTTCCACAAAACAAAACGATTACTCTATAACTATGGTACTCACCACTAGCTTGTTGATTTTTCACATCATCAAACAACTCATCAAGAGCTTTGTCAAGATTTAGTATAGTTGGAATCCGAGGTCTTTCCATTTTCTTTGATCTTCTTCTGTTATTCCCATTATCATCACCTACGTTTGTCTCTTCTTCTTGTTTCACATTTTCATCCTCATGTTTCTCATCATCACAATACACATGTTGTTCCTTGCCATTGGGTTTAGTTCTACTTACCTCCACAACCGTTTCTTCATCTGGTTTTGGTGATATTTGATTTGAGATCTGTGCTTTAACATATGATGGCCGTCGTAAAGGTGATGTTACAACATCAGTTTCTTTTGTATCACCTTGATTCTCTTTCGACATTTTTCTCTTAGTAACAGATTCACGTCTTCTGCGTAAATGCCCAGTGCTGCTATCTGAATACCCAGCTTCATCTTCTTCTTGTATATTAACAAGTGTTACAAATGGTTTCTGAATAGAATATGGTGTATCTTTTCCAAATGAAAATGATGAAACCCTGTTCACACCACCTGGAGTTAATGGTAAGTCCTCTTCATTGGGTAAAAGTAAATCGTTACTGACTGTTGGCGAGGCAACCATACTTTCAGGACTTGTAGTATCCTCAGTATTATTATTTAAATCATTGTCTGTATTAGTAGCAGTTGATGTTTGCAAAGGCAACAATTCGGGTCTCTTTATTTCAACTGGATCTTCTGATTCCACATCTTTTTCTAAATTTTCAATTAAATTTTTAAGAGCTCTTGCACCCTCCTCAGTACTGGTGCTAGTGTGCAGGTCCCCTTCATCAGCAATAAAAACACCAGGACCTTGCAAGCCAGGTGCATGAATAGTTTTAAAACTACTGGATGCAGGTGCTTGAAATTTGTCATCCACAATTTCTGGACTACATATTCTTGGTACTGGGGTAGTAGATGGAGTCTCACCTCCACTAGTTGAAGATTTCCGTCCCCTTATATGTGAATTAAATGGACTCTTCTTAAAAGAGGGTGATGTACATGAACTGTCACTTAACTCTGCAGTCACTGAAACGGAAGGACTGTCTTTGGTTGTCTTTCTAGCTGTTGTCTTTATTCCATTGTTTTCCAATGCGTATAATCGCGAATGAGCCCCATCATGAGTCCCAATGTCACTAGTCGAGCTAGTTGCACGAGTTAATCGTGAGGGAGTAAGTTGTACAGTAGAAAATGATTTGATGTTTATTTTAGAAATACGCTTTTTACCTTTCCCACGCGGTGAAATACGGTTAAACGTGAAGCCAGTTCGAAATGCGCCAGCTTCGTCGTCGAGCGAGCTAACAGAAGTAAGACTCCGTGAAATATTTCTACGATTGTTAAGACCATAAACAGACAAGCGTGACCTCTGCTGTTCATACTCACAGTCTGCAGACGAACAGCAAATATGGCCAGGAAATTCATCATTATACCTTCTATGACCAGGGTCTGAGTGTTCACTAGGATCACTCTCTCCAAAATAATACTTCGTGCGATAATTTCCTTTCTTTTTAACCCGTTTTTTACGTTTCTCGAGGCAGTAACTATTGGGCCAATATTCTCGCTCACTTGAGCTCGGTCCAGATTCCGAATCGGAGCTGTTTACATTGCGGTCCGAAGCAGAAGCGTAACGCGAGTTCTTTGGCAAGCTTTTACTAAGACCGTGCTTTTCATTTTTACCATAAGCGCCGGGTACTTGACGACCGCTTTTCTCCCTATTACTATTTTTCCATCGCATCATGTTCTCCGTTTGTATACCGTAATAATAATTGGACGGCGGTCCATCGGTCCTGTATTGTCGTTCTAATTCCCCAGGATGGTATATATATCTGTCACTGTATCTACTGTGATGTTTCACCGAGCTCGAAGTGTATCTCTTGTCATCACGATCGGTAAACGAAACACAGGACACGTTGTTGTTGTCTTCTCGCAAACTCTCTTGTTGCTGACCTTTGACGTGTGGACATAGCTGAGCCTGTTTGCTTGACGGCTGTGTATAGTTCGCGTACTGTCCTCCTTCACAGCTACATGTTGTTAAAGATGGCGCTAGATTTGCGCCATTCCATTCAGAACCGCCATACGAATTCATTCTTTCTACTAAGGCTTTCGTGTTTTCTGCCCCCACCACTACAGCTTGCTCATTGCTAGCTGGAGTTGCTCGTGGAATTTCTGGCATGTAGCCGCGATCTAAAACTGTCCCACTGTCGCACTCGTTTGCATTCGAAAATACCGGCGTTCGCCTCTCTTCCCCTTCATAATTACTACCAGAACTTGTACGATATGTACGTAAATCATCCTCCGTACGAACTAAATGTCTATTTTGATCATTTGCTCTATGTCGCCCACGAGAACTCGCTGATTCAGACGCCGTACTCCGTCTCTGTGTCCGATGTTTTAAATGTAGATTTACTTCCGTTCGTTCAACTCGATTATCATTTCGATACGGTCTTGAATTCGCGGCTGTTGTCTCGGACGCGTTCGCTTGAGAAGAATACTGACAACCATGTCTATGTGAGCGACCATCTACGCTGTTATTAAGCACTGTTCTGTTTCCTTCGTCGCTCAGTGTTAATCTATTGTAGAATTCTTCAGACATGGTATGCGCTCAAAATGGGTTGAACGCCGTTCATGTTTTCATTCGCATTTACGTTATCTTGTTCCGTTAGCGTTTCACGTCTGACTATTACCAAAGCGTTTGCGAAATGGAACGGCGGAGCGTAATGGGAATAGCTTGCCGTCGAGCGAACAGTTAGATTACAAGTGACATATGACATCCGTTGAATGTCTACCACCAACAAGGCAACATAGGGGCACAAAATAACCCCAAACTTGTTATCAGTACACGCACCGATGCGTGTCGTGTTCGCCTATAAACTCTCACTTGATTGTGATGTAGATGATGTCGAACAATAAAGCTGGAAGAGAGAGAACAATACATGAACAATGTACAGCTTAACAGTTACGATAATGCCGTGTCGGGGGAGGGGAAAGGCGGTGGATGATTGCCCTGAAAACTTGATTATGATCATTGCACATATTATGTTACCTATCACATACCATGAGCGCGCGGTCTACTCTAAATATATCTACTCAATCTAAACATCCCACATGAGCTAATGATTGACGCATGAAGAGCTCTTCACAGTCGCTTGCACTGCTACACCCGCAGTTAAAATCAATTTATCGTGAAAGTGTCCAAATACTTGTTGCAGCGTGCATTGTGAGCGAGTGAGCGACCTCCCTCAGGAAATACCCCATATACCTCGGTATTAAACCAAAACAAGCGGTTCTTATTGCGCTGCAATCTTTGATAGCTTTCAGTAATGAAACGCCAGGCTCATACAATGATGGCGCAAATAGATTCCCGCGAAGAATTTTGGCGCCGAGGTCAAATATTTGCGAGAAATCAAATCAAAACTCGATGAAAATGTTCGTGTTTGTAAATATAGAGTGGAGGTGATAATTTTCTAGATTATAATAATGGGAAATGCTCCGATTTGATATAGGTCATATAGCTAGGTTTCTCCACGGTCGATTTCAAAATCAGCAAAATTCGTGAAATGCAAGTGCAGAGATTTTTTATCTCGCATTGCTCATCGGGAATATGTTTGGTCTCACTGCAAGTCGGAAATTAACCCCAAGATTGAAATATAATCAGTGATGGTTTTACATGCTATTTCCTGAGTTGTTTCCAGTTCAGAATGGCATAGGAAATATAAAAAATACAGTCTTAGAGCTTTATATATATATATATATATATATATATATATATATATATATATATATATATATATATATATATATATATATATATATATATATATATATATATATATATATATATATATATATATATAAATATCACTAGCCGCCCAAAAAACTTCATTTATATAAAACTTCAATATATATATATATACATTTACTGAGCGTCGTGAAAGGGCTGGTGAAAGAGATTAATAGACCTTTCCCCTTATAACCAAAATTTTGATCTAGGCAAGTCTAGACAAATATTTCATCACAGCTTGAAAGAGCATCACAAAATTAGTAATATTCCAAAGTTTCGTTGCGAAATGTTGTAAAATGAGGAAAATAGAGCCTTGCGGAGTTTGCAATTTTCAGTCATTTTGCATTACAAACGGGAAATTGCAGTCCCAACACCCGAATCGTATGCCAATTCCCCGTTTGTAATACAAAATGACTGAAAAACGGCAAACTTCGCAAGGCTATATTATCCGCATTTTACAAGATTTTGCAACAAAACTTTGGAATGTTACTAATTTTGTGGTGCTCTTTCAAGCTGTGATGAAATTTTTGTCTAGATCGAAATTTTAGTTATAAGGGGAAAGGTCCATTGTGCGTCGTGTCGTCGTGAATTGTAAGAGAACTAAATGTTTTTCAATCGGCATTTCGTAAAGAGGTATAGTTGACTCTTTCTATACGCTTTGTGGGTCATTTATTGAATTTTCCTAGTGACGAAAACGAGATTTTATAGTAAGTTCGAAGAACGAGACGAAAACGAGACTTTATAGTAAGTTCAGTGTGAATTGGATCTCCGTGAGTATAATACCAACATCCCACAGCTAGCAGTTTCAGTGGAGTGCTTTGTTTTACGAACCCTGCTGAATATCTTTAAATAATACTCTGCTGCATATATGGGGTGTGTAAACGACATTAATGGACGGACAAAATCGATCCAGTTGGATCCCAGCTATCTCAAGCTATTCTGCGTTTACCTTGAGAGCTCGCAGATATAACACGTAAAAGGACACAGGCTGTAAAGTTTGACCTGCGCGGGAAACACGTTCCCGGCGGCACAGAAATTTTAGCTGAATTTTTTTAGCTGAATTTCTATCCGCGCATTTTCAGCTGAGAAAATCCTACAAAATCTGCATACTCAAAGGTTTCATGAAATTAAAATAAACAGAAAATAAAGGGGAAAATACCCTATTTTGACAAAATATTTGACTATTTTCATTCAAAATTTTATTTCCTTCAAATTTCCTTCATTTTTGTCAAACTTTCCTTCATTGAGTCGACTGTCATCTCTTACGTGTCGGGCCTTGCGAAAAGAGGTAGAGAAAATTCTGAAAATCAGTGCTATTTCAGACGATCAGAGACTCCAAATTTTCGAAATTTTCTCAAATGCTCTGCCTTCCTTTCTGCGCAACTGCCATTTAGGTCCATTTACGACGGAAAAGTTCCCCGCGCAAAAATAATACTTTACAGTCTGGAAAGGACACTCCGACGACAACAGTAAATATTTATTCAACGTTTCGACTAGTTTGCAGACGTCGTGATGATCGAGTCGTGATGTCGACACGTAAAATATAAATTTCAGGTATTTTCTGAAATTTTTGCTGCTTTTTGCACATTTCAAAGGGCAATAGCAGTCTCTGTTGAAAAAGTGTTTATCAGTCGCCTTGTGATGCATAAAACAGAATAATGTATAAAATGTGGTATCTAGATTTCCGGAATCGGTCATTAGTTATCTATTTAATGTCATTTATACTGGGTATGGTTATATCCAATTCATCACCTTTTTGCTGGCTGGACTTTACATGCAGTCTCAATAACCAATCTTTCATGCTTGTAAATTTTTCGTTAGCTTCATTAGACATTACACAATTACCCATGGTTCAAAGGATTTCACAAATTATTGGGGGGGGAGGCAATTGGCCCCTTCGCACCCCTCCCCAGCCCCAATTAGTGTCTATCACTGCATCCTTGCTTCCCTAGTAACACGATATGGCATCCATTGTGCTTGGTTAACAGAACATGCCAGATTAATACATACATGTTTTGAGCCATACAGAGTGGCCTGTACCGGGTTCCGAAATCCCGCCATCCCGACAGATTTTTACTTCAAATCCTGTTATCCTGCCATGCCTCATCCCAATTTCCTGCTCCCAACTTGTTTCTAACACTGTTCAACGTATTATGATTTAAAGAACATATGGTAACGACATAAAACACAATTTGAATACACTAGAGTACAATACAACAAAGTTTAAAATAATAAATGATTCTGAATCGCGACTCTTATGAAAACAGCAATCATGCATGTAATTAGTAAATGGGGGATTGATGGGGACAAATGTTCGATATTATCCTGGAAAACAGTACATTTCGAGCACACAAACAAACGACGGCTACACGTTTTGTTGTTTTATCCCGCTAATCGTGGGTTACTTCCCACATATCGCCATGGTATTTTTATTAATCCCGCTTCCCGCGATGGAATAAAATCCTGCTTCCCGCCAATATTTCTCTTAAAATCCCGAATCCCACTTCAATATTAGACGCATCCCGCAAAACCGGTACAGGCCCCTCCATACAGTAGGCAGGATATTGCATCATTCCAGAAAACATAAATCCCTTACCACCCCCCATTTTTCTCCCATCCACGCCCCTCCAGATGGCAGAAATTTCCTCCTTGGGGGCAGGGAGGATGACCCAAAGTAACTAGAGGGGTTGGGCCACTTTACATGCTTTGCAACGTACTGCTTGAAAGCTAGAACTTATACTTTGCAAATTGGTTTCCATATGAGGAGTATAGATGACCAATTTATTTCAGGACTGACCCAATTTTTATATCACAAGTGACAATTAAGACAAGTAACAACAGATGATAACCATAGGCAGCCCAAAATAAATAAATGAAAAAAAAAATTGGGCTGCCTATGATGGATAACACACATTTAATAGCCATTAAATAATGCATTTTCAGTTAGTAATTTCAGTATAATACAAGCAAATTTTATTCATCAAGAAGAGAATCTTGCATTTGCAGATTAATGGTTTACCAAGATTTGTACCTAGATGATGGGTATACGTAAAAGTCTGGACAAAGTAAAAGTAATGCATCCTGCATTATTTTAAACTTCAAAGATCCTAAATTTTGTAAAGCGTGCAGACGATGTTGAACCAGTTACTCAGACCTGGAAAAAGTGTTCAATGTTCCTCGGATCCTGAATTTGCCTTTTTCAAATGTCCCTCAATTTATACATTGGTTGTAAAACAGCTGAGGAAACAAAACAATCTTCAAATTCTATTATTTAATAACAGGATATGAAGAACACTTTGCAGCTGCAAAATAGACTCAAATGGCAGATAACTAAATATGATTCCTTATAATAAAATTTCCCCTTAAAGTATGCATGAAAAATTCAAAATGTTCCTCAATAGTCAATCTTGTTGCTATTAATAAAGGCAAATGTTCCTCAGGATCCAGGATCTTTTCCAGGTCTGCAGTTAGTACTCACAGTAAATGAAAATATTTGATACCGTTCTACAAATGGGAACAAAAAAAGAGAAAATCAAAACAAGACATACAAAACGAGCTACCCTGCGAGCAGAGTATACTCTGCTCGCAGGGTAAAAACGAGCATAAATATATTAATAATTTAGGCGATTCTTTTTCACTTTTTGTCCGTATTAAAACCTATGGTAAACAGTAACAAAAAAATAAACAAATAATTGTATTAAAGGTTATTACTATTATTAAAGGTAAACAACTATTTTAATACTAACTTTTTATCAGTCGTATACATCTCCTTTCCTTTGTGTTTACCCATGCAGTCTTGTATTAAATAAATCGTTTTCTTTTTTGTAAATTAATTTTAATTTTGCCAGCAAAGCATGTATAAAAGTGGCCCAACAGTGCAGACTTCATGTTTCATGGATGTAATTAGCCTGCTCACAGGCTGACAACGGCCTGCGAGCAGGCTAGGATGTAATGGACTCACAATCATAGAGATTATAAATAACACATAATTTACGTGTTATTTATAATCTCTATGCTCACAATAGCATTTCTGGCCCGCGCATGGGTGTCACTACCCTGGGTAGGGTGTCACCGTGTCAAAAAATCAAAACTTACAAATCATGCCGTGCAGTTATGCAGCAAAATTGCAAGGCAGCAAGGCCAAGGATGTAGATTTATAACCAGGGCTTCTTTTAATATTTATATAGGGCGTCCCTTCTGACTAATTAGTAATAAGCCAAAAAGCCAAAAGGGAAAAATAACTTAGTTCATTTAGAACATGGGCCGGTTGTATAAAATTTGTAAGTTTACTTTCAACTTACTATTTGTCAGTTTCAGGGGCGGCACTAGAGCTCTTCGAATGGGGGGGTTGTAAGTGCATTTTGCCGATTATCAAGACAAATTTTGCCGAGTCTGGCGAGTCACTATAACTATACTACAATATGTTTCCCAAAATTGTTGGCAAGCGCAACATCCAAACACATTTTCCGGACAACATATTTTTACCGTTATTCGTTCCATTTTTTTGTAAATTTCTTCGCATTTATCTATATTTAATTTGACAGGAAATCACAACAGCTTCAGGCCAATTACTGTGATCCCAATTTTGCCGACTACCTGACAACTGAGTACCGACTATGAGTAAAAATCTGACTATGAGTAAAAATCAAACCCCAGACGGCCCAGAGGCTTAAAAATACAATCTTTTCAGGGGTGTACCCCCAAACCCCTACCCGTTCCCACTTATCTAGTTTACCACCGTCTAGTTATTAGTTAATTTAAGTTCCTTTTTCTTGATGGCTCTTCCACCGACAAATTCTAAAAGGAAGCCCCCAGGACAGATTTACATTTACAGATTACAGATGCTAGAATTCTATGGTTGTACAGTTGCACAACTGGTCTAGGAGAGTGTGGGGTGGGGGCGTGGGTCAGGTAGCCGGCAAATTATTATGAAGGAAATAAACTAAAATATTTGAGTGAAACTGATTTAAAATTAATACTATTATAGCTAAAATTTTACGAAAACACTAAGGAAAAATTAAACGAGTGACGGTACCTCAAGTCAACCCAAAAGATAATGAAAAATGTAATGTCCAGAAAATTAAAAAATCAAAGTTAACTAAATGATTGCTATTATTCTTTGAAAGCATTATAATTTACTTAATTTATGGAAGGTATGGATGACTGCGTGACAATTTTAGGACCTAAGCGACTCATGGACTATATATATTGTCTCGGTACCTCGAAACTAAAATGCCCAGAAAAGATAGAGACGTGAAATATACTGTGTAAAATTGAGGTCGTCACATGCCTGAATGCGGGAAGAGATTATTTCGCTGGCCTAGCTCAGAGTGACAAAATGTAACAAAGCAACGGTTTTACTAACACTAACCGGCCCTACTCCAAACACTAACTCTAACCCTAATCCTTACCCTAACCCGGCCTAACCGGCTAACCCTACTCCAAATTTGTTTCTATTAAACCAATCTTGAAGAAAAAAGTTTTGACGAAATGTCATTCTGAGGTCAGCGAAATAGTTGATGCCATGAATGCGGCATTCTTTCAAAATCTACGCAGTCATTAAACTGAAAACGCTACATACAGACCGCTTAACCGTTATATTATAGACATATATAATAATCGGTCACCGTACTAGTGTAGATAGTGACGATAAAGCCTGGTTCACATATATGCCTGCGACGTACCGGCGACGATGCCGGTGGTAGCTTAAAACGTGAATTATGTGAATATTTGTTCGCCGATTGCCTCCAGTGCCTCAGTTACATCGGCGGTAGGCCGGGAAAGTTGACTTGAGTTCAACTTTCCCGGTATTTTGCCGGCAAGTTGAAGCCTGGTTCACATATATGCCTGCGACGTGCCTGCGACGTACCGGCGACGATGCCGGTGGTAGCTTAAAACGTAAATTATGTGAACATTTGTTCGCCGATTGCCTCCAGTGGCCAGTTACATCGGCGGTAGGCCGGGAAAGTTGACTTGAGTTCAACTTTGCCGGTATTTCGGCGGCAAGTAGAGGCGTAATGATACAGTCGCAGGCATGCCGCAGGCATATGTGAACCAGGCTTAACAGACAGATATGCAGATTGAAGAGATACAACTACCTGAAAAGTATAAGAAGAACTTCGACGGTTCGAGACCATTCCCTATATTTTGAGAGTATTGTCGTCCCCCCATTAGATTAGTTTTCACTCGATCGTTTCCAACCATCAAAGGCCATCAAACTGACGAAACATCATTTGATCAATTTCTAAAGTTGATTCTTTTCGGATTTATTTTATTATTTTGGTTACTGAGTTAGGATTAGGGGTTGGAGAAGGGATAGGGTTTGGGTTAGTTACATATTGGAGTAGGGATAGGGTTTGGGTTAGTTACATAGCCATTTAACACCTCTTCCTGCTAGATGGAAACAAATGCTGACCCATCAGATTACTGCGGATATTTGAAAAATACGCTGCGTAATCTGACGACATCGTCAACGTACTGACAACATTCGTCATTAACAATCGGCAAAACCTGAAATCGACCCGATTAATCGTTTGTAAACGCAGCTTTATACCACAAAATAGAAAACTACCAGAAGCCTCACTGTACACCTTTCCCTAACATTTTTTTTTTAAATAAAACAATAGATTTATTAATACGTATCATTTCAAGCATGCGTTATACATTATTATTATTATTTTTAAAAATATATTTATTAATTGTTTTATTAATGGCAGTACGTAAGTCCTCAATCAAGTTATTCACGAGGCCGAGGGATCCGTGCCTCGGAAGTTGCCAGGGAGATGTTGGAATCCCCGAATATGGGCCGATGTATCGAGGATCTACTTCTACGAATGCACATTATTGAAGATCTTAACGATGCAAACGACATTCTACATCGTAGCCAACCTATGGTCGCGGAATATTTTTGTTGTCTCTTATTGGATATCATATCCGCAAGGCATTTATAAAACTGATGAATACAACATTCCCTAACATTTTCGTGTCCGCGATTTGCGCCTTCCGGTTCAATCACGAATTGCGCACGCTAGATGACATTAGACTTGCTCCAAGTCTCTCTTTGTGGACATCTATATATTGTACATCTATATTGTTATAGATGTCCACAAAGAGAGACTTGGAGCAAGTCTAGATGACATGTACTACATGTGCGACAATTGCTGCGAACATCACGTCAACGTTCGTCAGCGTCAATTCCTCAAATCAATCTTTTCCTTCTTTTCCTTTTCCCAACTTTTCGAAGAAAAGGCCCTTTGTAAAGAAGTTTTACTTTCACTTAAATGTAGAAGAATTGCGGTTTTCTAACCAGATACAGTCACAGTGCTTTCTTTTCCAAAGGGGACCTTTGGACCATATTTTTAGCAAACTTTTATAGTGCATCCGAGATCGTTCGCAAATATGTAAATTTAATATGTAAGTTGCTATATGAACAGCTACACGGCAAAAAACGCCGAGACCGTTGCCCAACAGGACTGAACAATGTTTTGCTGCCCACGTTGTTCATACTTGTCAACAATATTGAACAATGCTGTTGAGCATGAATCGGGTGTAACAATATTGTTCAATGTTGTTGACAGCTATGAACAATGTGGGCAGCAAAACATTGTTCAATCCTGTTTTCATCAGTATTGCATCAACCTGAGCGTTTTTTGCCGTGTAGTGAGGGCACAAGAATAAGAAGGTACAGCAGAAGTGTAACTCGAGTCGGTTCCCCTATTGTTTTACGTCCATGAAAATTTTAACTCGCTCACGCCATCCTGGCTAGTACAACCGGAAGTTTTTATCAGGTTTTGGTAGGTACAAAGTGCCGGTTGCACTAGCCAGGATGGCGTGATTAATGACGAATTGCTTGTAAAAACGCGGACAAATACTTGCTTGAGATACACTTCTGCTGTACCTTCTTATTCTGTGGTGAGGGCAAGTGATGGCGTATTGCTCGCGTTTGATGTCGTCGTGATTACATTTGCTGGCTCGCGCCTGCGCATAAAAAATCTCAGACATAATTTTGGCTAAGTGGATCTTCTGGTATATATTCTATTCTGTGTTTATACTCTCAGTCTTGGGCCCTTGGGAGGGGGGGGGGGGTCTTGGGAGAGGCAGTACCGCCAAAAACGCCTTTACGCCTGGCATTTGAGGCTATAACCGAGCATGCGAAAGGCTAAATGCAAAGTCTAGTCACTAGATTTTGCAGATTGTTCGACACATTACAAATCCAAAAGAGCTGAAAGCTTAGCTATAAGTAGTTGGCTCTAAATCTACAATGGCCTTTGGTCTAGCACCTTGGCCTTTGGGTCAATTTGGTGAGAAAAGCTGGTTTCATCTTTTGAATACATGTGTATATCTAGCTACTACTTGTTGCTGTAGAATGTAGACCTTTGTTGAAATTTTCGAAACTAAGGATAGGAGGGTGTCAAACGACCCTGAAAAAAGCGCACGAGGATTTTGGGGATTTTTAAATCCCGGCAAAATGCGAAGAGATTCTGGGATTTTGAAAGGGATTTTGTGGAATAACTATTAGTGATGTTATAGCAAGCTTTGGGATTTGTCATTTTGGGGATTTCAAAATATTGTTGTTTTTGAAAGTGTACGATGATTTTTAGAGTAATTCACCGCTCGTTCGAAACTATATGTGTCCTGCCTGCGAGAGTCTTGAGTCAGATGAGTATCCTTTATTCCGCAACGTCATATTTTTTTTTTATTAACTTTACAATCATAGACAAGTATAACAATGATTGAAGGATGGTCAACAGGACATGAGTCCCATGTGAAGATCAAAATGTGAAGATTATAGTAACTTTAACGCCGTTTTCCATTGGGTTTTCCCCTCACCCCCTCCCATCACTTTTGTAATGGTCCGTCCTGGCCAGTGGTCCCGGCTCAGAGGGTCCTGGCTTATTCAGTTAATTGAAATAATTGACTTCGCCTGGCACGCAATGTTTACCAGAACAGCACTGAGCACCAAGACTGCCATAAAGCTATAATTATACATTTATTTTTAGCTTCTGTATCAAATATATAACCCAAACGCTATATGTATATGTATAGCTCAGCATGTTACACACTATCAACGTCCTATACTGCATAAAAATTCTCCAATATGTGATTTTATGACTACCCAGGGTGTCGTATTCAACCTGAACCTGAGTATATATATATATATAAAGACAGTTGAAATGCCAAGTTAGCCAAATTATTAAGATTCTAAACGTACCTGATAACGCTAACGTATAGATGGTTTAGTTAGATCTTCCCAACCAATTCATGATTGCCTGATTGATTGATTGATTGATTGCGTCCATAAACATATATCAATCCGAAAACAGTAAATAATGATGAACTTCGTAAATAAAGCATGAATCCCAGTCTGTCTGACGTAATATATATATTTAATTCTCCTTTGATATTTTTCCCACCGTAATCATGCTTTGTCATTCTAATCCGATTTCCTACAGGAGACACGAGGTCTCCCTCAAGGATCATTTGTTAAATCTCTAAGTGCATATTCTACGCAATAGCCAATCCCGTGCCTTCCAATCTATCATTACCCAGCTACTACTACGTCGTTGTCGAAGATTTGAGATTTTCCCCTACTATCATTGCTGACTGATATTTACATTCATACAGTGGAGAATAGCTGTTGTCATCGTTTAAGACGAAGTTAGACGACGTTGACTCGTTGAGTGTAGAGTTGTCACACATGGTTTATGGACTGCTGTACATACTATTTATAATTATTCATTGTTAAAAAGAAAGGTGCGTGGATTTATGGTTTTATGCAGATGCAGTCAGATCTATTATTGCAAGGGGAGTTCTCAATATTTTCCTATTACGAGGTAGGTGGTATATAAGATAACATTTTTAGTATGTATTGGGAATACTTGACATTGTCAATGTGAGTTTGTCATAGCAGTTATGGTTTATTTCTATACCCCGGAGTTCAGGGTTCTCTGCGATTTAATTTTGAGGTGCCACGGAGTTATTTTCTTATATGGTTAAAGTTGTTCCGAGTCAAACCTGTGATCAAAGTGTCAAACCAACTTTGGTATGACCTTAATTGATTGACATTGAAATGATGAGAATAATACTTACTTCCTCATAGCAACAATCAATACTCCAACTTGGTAAATATTATAAATATTGGCAAACATCACGACATTCTTGTTATTTAGAAGTCAAAATTTAAATTCAATCATCTTAATGAATTTGCTATGCATAGATTTTACAAATCTGCTAATTTTTTCTGCCTGACTATTAGAGCAAAGTTATGTTGGCCTTCGTTCGATCGAAACGTGGTTCTCCTTGTATTTTTCAGGTACGTAGTTGCATCCCTATCAATCCGAAGCTTTCGATATTTTCCATGCCCTTTTCCAGTAGCTTCAGCCATATTTTTATTCTAAATTTTATTTTACATTATAATGAATTTGATATTATTTGTCATTTTGAAAAGAAAGGTCAAACCAGAAAACAGACATTTGCCCCAAGTCTGCCTCTCAAAAGGGTTTTTTTTTGGGAGTTATTGAGGGCGCAAAATGTGCGCCCGCCCGCCTCAGAATTGTTATCAGCTGTTTAATTGTTATACGGGATTAAATCATATGAAAATTAATTTAAGGTATAGTAATAGCACAAAACATGATTGGAGGTATTTTAGTGTGTGTGGGGGGGCGGGGGGCATCCTATTCCAACTATAATTGGATTCTGAATCAACTCAATGTACCTATAATTGCAATTTTAATTGGATATGAATTAAACTATATTTGCTAATCACAAGTTATGGTGAGCGAGAAATATGACACGAAATCTAAATTATAATCTTAACATGAATTTTAAAATATAATGAATCGGATGGAACTGAAAACAACACATGAAATAAGGAAACGGAAGTAAAGAGCGTGGCTAATTGCGAGTTGTCGAAAAAAAATCATCCGTCATTCAACCATTTCAACCAGGTCATGAAGACACTCGCTTTCCTTCTTTTGTTCTACCTAACACTTTTGACATAAGAAGGGCGGAATTTTTGACATGAGGGGCGTACATGTCTCCAATAAACTCCCTCCCCGAATCCCCACAACATTGATTCTCCTTGAAGAACGTAATTGAATGTCTGAACCAATATCAAGTTTTGTCTAACAATACATTTTTCATCACGGAGACAATTTTTGCAAGACAGAATTGACGAATGTTCTCGTAATTTTTCCATCCTTTGACTGTATTGATGCTAATGAATTGAATTAACAAATTGGTTTATTCGGCGGTCATTAACATTATTTGTCACAGGTATTCTAATAATTACAGTC